ACGGCAGCTCGGATCACACCAAGGAGTATCTGATGAATCTAGACATCCTCCTTGGCCTGTATGGTGTGGCGCATCGCATTGTCATGGAGAACCAAAACAGGCCCGGGGGTGTGCATCGCATTGAGTACCTTGCTGCAGTGCGAAACAGAGCCCTGGAACCGCTGGCAGAATGGAGCTCCGGCGATGAACCGAAGTCTAACAGCAAAATTGTCTTTCTCAACGACGTCTACATATGTGACACCGACATTTTGGAGCTCCTTAGGCAATCCACCATACATGACGCCGATATTACGTGTGGTCAGTCGTGATTGGTGCCACTGGAGGTTTAGGTGGGCATGTGTGTGGTGTGGGTGTTGGTCTTCAGGTTTGGACTACTCGGCATGTCCGGAAAACAACGTGAAATGCAACGGTTGGCCGTTCTGGTTCTACGATACGTGGGTGTCTCGATCAATCGATGGCAGCACGTTGTTCTACCCATCATACAACCCCTCACAGCATGAAGAGACCAAGCGGCGCTTTTCCGAAGGACTACCAGCGCAAGTGGCATGTTGCTGGAACGGAGCGGCGGTGTTGAACCCAAAACCTTTCCTTCAGGACGGAGTCCGTTTCCGTCGCGGCGAGTTGAAGGACGGCGAATGTTCAGGGAGTGAGTGCACTCTCCTTTGCAAGGACTTTTGGGAGCTCGGTTGGGACCGAATAATGGTAGTTCCTGCTGTCAAAATAAGCTATGGGGAGAAAAACATTGCGTATGAAGAGATTGTGAAGCTCCGGCGTTTTGAGTACGATATTCTCGGGATTCGAGATCAGGATGGGACGATCGATTGGACGGTACCCCAAGGAATTCTTCGATGTGACGGGATGAGGGGATACGAGCGGCTACATCCTGACTTACCAGACATTCGGCTGAACCTTCGTACCGTGCCATCAAGGCATCTGCAGTGAGTCTGCTTGTAGCTGCTTTCTCGACTCTTCATCCTGAGTGATAGTAGCATGTAATCGTATGCTTACGCCGAGATGGAGAGACTCTGAAACAGTTTGTCCGCTCGAGTCATGTGAGACGTCGTGAATTACCATCCGTCCCTTCGACACGAATGCCACCACCGCGTCATAAAGGTATTCTATCCACCACGCTCTAAAAGGCGCTAAGGAGCAGGCACACGGCCTGGATACCCACACCCACCCACCCACCCCACGAATCCACTATGTTACGGCCAGCACCCGCTGATCCAATACATACTGTTCATTCACCAATTCATCCTCTGTTCGGTTGAGTACCAAGCCACTCCGTGCTAGAATTTGTCCGCACGCAATTGCAACGGGAAAACAAAGGGACGTGAGCTACGCCATTGGCGGTAATTACAGGCAGTAGGGGTAGTTTCACCACTGGCCGAGACCTGTGTACAATACAAGCGGAATGGGGCTCATTCTGAAGAATGGGAACGAAACCTGGCTTTGACTGCATGTTTGACTGTCCTTGCCAGAAGTAAGTGTCTGCACTGAGTCATGGCCATACTAGCCAGCAGCGGCCCTGTACATCCAGAAATGAGACCAAGTCTCCGTACGTACATACTTTGTTGTGAGTCTTCGCATTGTCCCTGGCTGGATCAAATTTCGAGCGGAACAAGAGAAACCCCAGGATTCGTGCATTAGGAGCCGTCTTCTGGGTTGCACATCGGCAATAGAGACACACAGACGCACCCTTCGTGGATGGATGCACAAGGGACTCGCCACCCAGAAGTCTTCTTCCCGTTCCCCGCTACAGTTTACATGTCGAGGGAGGCACTGGTCGTACTTGACTGGATGATTCAAAGAAATCATGTGGAGCTCACCGGGATGGTGTGTATTATAACGGCACCAGGGAGACGGCCCGGCACAGCAAGGTCTCCCTTGGCTATCCCTGGGTTTCGCAAGAGGCCCCTTGCGCCATCCGATTTCGCGTGAGGCATGATAACAAGCGATCCCGGCTAAATTCACATAAATCATGAGGATTCTCCCCCTTCATGCCACTTCTTTCGAAACAGCTTCTGTGCGATAGGCCTCACATCCTCTTTACAAGGGCGGCGAAGAAGAAGCTTGCTCTAGGGTGACTCACATCGATCACAAAGTACGAAAAGTGAAATCGATAAGCAAAGTGGCCTTCTCGCCCTCATCGTCGCCCCCCGGGCGGTTTAGCCAGCGGTAGAAGAGAGAATGGCGGCCAGGCAGAGAAAACGGTGACAGATACAGTGGCATGTCCAGGTCCTGGTTATCTTGGCAGCGGGAATCCACCTTGGTGACCTGGAAATGGGCAGGAGACCAAAAAGCACAGCCATCTGAGATGCGTATTCCCTCTTCCGCCCCCGACTGACGTTGCATCTATCGTGGGTGAGGAGGGCATACTTGTAGTTGTGCACACGTTTATCAGCAGTGAGGTGGGACTCGAGGAATCGCTGCACCATTGGCGTGGGCAGGTGCTGCAGCACCTGCAGACAGACAGACAGACAGACAGACAGAAAAACCCATGAGCCATGCACCGCCAGGCATGGACGGAGCAGCTGGCTACATCCTTCGTCATCAAAGCTACAAGAGAGAAAACAGAGAGGCAGTGAATTGTGGACACAGTCTTCTTTCTCGCTGCGCTCACGTCTGCGGGAGGGAGGGCTTCTCTCTCCAACATGCTGCTTGCGCGAAAGGTCCGGTTGTGACTTCCATACAGCTGCTGATTGCGAGCAATAATGTCCGGCACCACATCCACACCAGTGTAGCTGTCCACTCCCTGCGTACAGAGACACACACATGGATGCTATTCTCCGGCTGTAGTTTGCCAGTCCCCGCATCCTGCGTCAACGACGGATCGGATATTCCGATCACGCAAGAACTCCTCTAGCAATAGGCGAACGCTGTCTGTTGCTTCCCTGGTGCTCCCCGGCCCAGCGTGCCCGTTCCCCTCCTTGTTCCTCCCCCATTCCCCCGATTTGTAGATGGTTGATGTGTAACGATGCGCCGGGGACCACACACGCGTTGGTCCACGGCACGAACAAACATGAACAGTCGATCGCGATGCAATGATAACGAGCTACAGACACTCAAATGGACAAACAATGCTCATGAGCAGCACACGTGAATGGACAGACATGCGGACTGACAGACAGATAGACAGACAGCCAACCAGACAGACAGGCATCCAGGCCAATCAACACACACTATCCCCACACGCCTACTCACAGGGGGGCGCCCTCAGAAAATGAGAGGCTCCCCAGGCACGAACATCCCAGCCCCATCACCCCAACGCCCCCTCTGATACAGCCAATGCCACCGGCCCTTCCTCCTGGGCCGCCGCAGACACGCAGACACCGAACGAGCCAGGCACACTGACAGCCGCGCCCGAATCCATTGCTCGACCCGGCCAGTGCCATATCTGTCCCATCCGCCCCTCTTGTTGATGAGCTCGGCCAAGCGGCGAATGAAGCGATCGGCCTCCCTCCCATAGACGCCGTCACACGTCACGATGAATGCCGTGAAGTCCATGCGGTTGAGCCGACACACGTCAAGATGGTGGTCCTTCTTGAGCTTCTCCCTCTCGCGGGTGATCGTGCCGGTGGTCTTGCCCTGGTTGCAGCGAGCGTCAGCGTCGGTCACGCAGAAATCGATCGACAGCTCGCGGCAGCTTGGCCAAAACCTCGACACGAACAGGTCCGTGCGGACGGTGGGGTCGTTGGGGACACCATCAGGCTCGTCGGGTGTATTTGTAGATTGAAGAGAAGGCGCCACGCAACGCACTGCTATTCGCCACCTCCACCGCCCCAGTCATCCCGACAGATGCCTGGGCAGGTCCGCTATCCTGCCCGTCGTAATTCGCTTTCTTGGCAAACGGACTTTTTCTCAGAGTGAAACGGACTTTTGTGCTATGTGATCGAACTCATCGAAGACGCATGAAGATGTGTTCCCGCAACACATGAATGCGGTCAGTAGGGCTGATTGGTTGGTTTGTACGCGCAAGCGAGTGATTGGTCTATCTTCTCCTTGTTTCATGCTGGGGATCTCGCCGTGAATGACTCACCAGAGCCGTTTTCCCGCTCAAAACCACTCTGAAACGACGAAAAACCAGCCATTCACTCACTCATTCAATCCGCCTGTCGTGACTGCGAGGCCCTTCGCAGTGAGTCTGAGTGTCTCCTGAGTCTGATTCACCGTTGATCTCCACAAGCTGGTTTGCATGGAACAGGAGTCATCAACATGGTGTCCAGTGGGTCCATGACGGCACAACAGGCGTGAACAGCAGGCATGACAGCAAGCAACTCACATAAATCATGCCGCCCCGCCGCCTGCAGCGTGAATGCATCAGTCGAAATGATCATCAAATCGCAGCGCTCGCGCTATGGGTGGATGGATGGGTGGGTGGGTGAGTCGTTGGGTGTAAGGGGAGGGGAGCGAAAGGCAGGGGAGGGAGACTGGCCGGTGACATCAGCCCCGCACAAACGTGTGGGCTGGATGAATGTCATCAGATGCCTCAGATGACTCAACTGACCCTCCTGTGAGTCACCAATGGGCCTTTGCTGCATCGTAAGCGCGAACCAGCTGCTCTTCCGTTTATGTCATCGTGGCTCAAGCTCGGTCACGCAAGTCGCTTTTTCGTCGCAAATCGCCATCGAGAATGGTTCATCTCAGAAGATGACAATCAAAATGTCTGTCTTTCTCCGTTCATCCACTCTTTCATCGGTCCGCTCTTTCAAAGAGGGGTGCTTCATGTGTCTTGCAGTCATTTTGAGCCATGAATTCGAAATGGTCGGTTTGGATGGCTGATGAGTGATTGGTTTATGCGGTTCATTTTGCTTGTGAATAGCCCGTCAAGCAGGTGGGTCGATCCTCAGGAGGGGCAAAATAGTACTCTCTTCAACGTACATTGATGAAGCTAATAGTAACTAATAAATAGAGTTCAGTAGAAATGGAGGTGGAGGTGCGAACAGCTGTCTTCCTGTTCTTCGCCGCTATTGTTTTCGTATTAATCGACGTGAATTTGCTTCATCGAACATTGCAGGACATTCGTCGCAAACTTGGTGACCTACGTGATGTAAGCGTGCCAACCGGGGCCACACTTCTTGCTAAGCCCTCATGTCTATACGCCATTCCTTCGTCATTGTATACACACGGACCAGGACTTATGCCTATCAATTTGGTATGTGTATATGTACACAGGATGGCATCGATGGCATTGTGGGCGAGTGGCAGGTCACGCAGATGGTCCAGAAGCTGCTTAGAGGTGCAATACAGGACACACCATCACACGTGATGCCCGGTTGACACACAGGTTCGGGGCTTCGGTCGTCTGTCACGTCGTCGAGGGACCAACAGCGGCAGATCACCAAGCAGCAGAGTGCTGCCACATCGCCCGCTGCCTTCGCTCTCATGGCTGGGGTACAAACATGTAATGAAAATGGGAAGGCGAATGTTGATGGTGTGCAGGAGTCCCTTGGATTCTACGATTCGAGCCAATACACGGAGGCGCAGAGATGGGAGCTGAGAAAGAAGAACAGAGCCGTCATGTGGCACAGACAGGTGCACATAGATATACGACAAGGATTCTGTGTACGTTCATGAGTGTACTCATGTGTGTCTCTCCGCAGATGGACCCCAAGTGGCTTAGCAAGATCAGCGGGGCCAATGGCCAGACCTTCTACCAGATGTTCTTCGATCCCGATTGGAGCTGCGAGTGAGGGCTGCAGCCACACACACGCTCGTCGACGTGTGCACACACTAACGTGTGGCAGGTTTGAGGTGCGATTGGGCACCCTTGGTGACGGTGGAAAGTGGGTCTGCGATCCTGACCGGTGGGTACCGCCCGCACTCACATGCGCATTGCATACACGCGCAGACAGACAGCGGATACTCGTTTATGGCTTCACATGTGGTGCACATCTGCGCGCAGGATCCGGTCGCGCAGCAACGCATCAGGCGAGCCATGCTTGGTGTACTCTGTGGGTGGGTCCAACGAGGTACATAAGGGTGGCCTTTTCCACCTCATGTGCTGTGCGTTCCATCCCTGTGTCTCAGTGGTCGTTCGAGGACAGCGTACACAAGACACTCGGATGCGAAGTCCACACCGTATGCACACAGAATACACACACAAGACTGGCCCTTCATCGATGTCTGTCCTTGGTATCTGTCCGGGCATGCGTAGTTTGATCACACTGTGGCGGTTCCGGAGGCCAAGCCCGAGCATGTCCACTTTCATAGATGGGGCATCGACCAGCCGGGAAAGGGGTAAGCGCCACCGGACGCCTTTCTCGTTTCCATCCAAAGGAATGGTCCATCCAAAGGAATGGTGTTTGTGTTGTGCCGTTTCGTGTCGTGTCTGATGTGTTCAGGGCCAACCTGAAGGCCGACGATCCGGGGCCCCTCACAGCAGGCTTGAACGAGATCATCACGTGAGAGCGGGGCAGCACACACAGAAGGCTAGTGTCTGTCTGTCTGTCTGTCTATGTCGCAAGTGCTCTGGGTCATGAGAGCCGAGAGATCGACATATTCAAGATCGATGTCGAGGGGGCCGAGTGAGCAAGCGGACTCAAAGAGAACGAGGATGGCACACACACACACACACACGCATCCCTCCATGTACTTTGTGTATGTGCTCATCTAGGTTCAAGTCGCTGACCCCGCTTCTGACGAGCGGAGAGTGGAGGAAAAGGCCACCAATACGCCAGGCAAGGAAGGACCACCCCCATAGAGATGCGTCGTCACACAGGTGCACGTCGGTTCTCTGTGTGTGTATGTGTCACCCACAGGTGCTGATAGAAGTTCATGTGTACGGCGACCACCAACAGCAGGTGGTCGAAATGAACAGGGAGCTGCTCACCGCCTTTCTGAACAACGGGTTGGTCAGGCCACAGACACACGCACACAAATGAACATAGACGTGCATAGATGTGTGTGCCTCGGTGTCGCGTGTGATACTATTGGTGCAGATACGTCATGTTCCACAAAGAGCCGAATATCCAGGTGGAAGAATACATTTCTTGGACATGTATGTCCGTGTGTGCGTGGGTTGCAGCATGCTGGCGGCAACTGCGTCGAGTTTGCCTTCCTCCAAATGAACCTCCCCATTCCACCAGACAAGCCCATATAGCTACTGTTATGCAGTGACTTCCGTCTCGGAGTGGCCTGTGTGCCTCAGGCTCATGAATATTTTAGACGAGATGAAGACGTGCCGAATGCTTCCGGTATAGGCAAAGACTACTGGCCTAGATAAGATAGGGTGAATGTGTCTCTCGGTCGGTCGGCATACCGAGAAAGCAGAGTACAATCTCTTCAGTCAGTCAGGCACTTAGTCTGTTAGTCTGTTCCTTGACAATTCGTATCTTTACAATGACGAGCGCTTGCCGACAACGCAGTATCAATCGTAACAAGAAGGGCCATGGAAGGGGATGGAATGAAATCGAGGACGAGACGCCATCATTTTCGACGCCATCACACTCCCACAAGCAGAAGACGCAAGCGTCGCACAGCGAAGTCGTCATGCAGAAACCTGTGCAACAGGATTGGCGTCGATGCACGTCGCGTATGTAAATGCACACATGTTCGCCGGCCGGGATGACGGCAGGGACCCAGGAAAGCAGAGGCACACACCAGTCGACCTCAATGATCCGCCAAGACCGTAGTCAGTACACGAATTGGTGAGTCAGCTCAGCCGTCTCTATTTGTGACCAACCGATACTACCCCACAGAGGACACTCACCCTCTACTTCAGCAACGTAAGCCGTTTCAGGCAATACGAATGTATCCCTCAGGTAGAAATCCCGTCAGTCGTGTGCATGCATTGGCGTAAGTCTCGTCGTTGGACATAATAAGCAAAACATCGACAAGCACAATAAGCAACAATAAGCAACCAACCAGCGACAATAACACGACACGGACACTCTGTGTGGTGGTGCTTACACGCACACTCTGTACGCAGCACGCAGAGGTCAAAAGCAGCCAAGATAGGGAATCGAAACCTGAAAGAGAGGCGGAGACCCTTAAGCCATTATCAGTCGCTCTCTCTCTCTGTTTGTGTGGTTGCAGGCAGATCATACGCCAAGAGACTGCAGTTTCCCAACGGGCAGCGCATGGAAATCTACTGTGAGATCGACGGCAGTGACTACTTGCTCGACGTCACCATCGCCCGCCCCTGCCGCCCTGACAACTCCCCCATTCCCTTCCACCGGACAGTCAATCGGCGTGGTGCACAGCTTCCAGGTGGCAAGGCGGCTCAGCTTGCGGAGAAAGACAAGATCGACAAGTATGGTCCAACCGCCCAAGCAGCTGGCTTCCGCTTTGTGCCTCGCCGCGGAGACATTCGGCAGATGGGGAAAGAAGACCATGGACTTTCTCAAGATGTTCGCCAAGCGCAAGCCCCGCCCCCCCTCCAGTCCCGCCGATGAGTTCGCCGCATTCCGGGAGAACATCATGACCATCAACCATTGCAGCCAGGGACATCGACATCAAAAGGACAGGCGGAGGAGCGGCAGAGCCGCCGAAAACCATACTGCAGGGCTTGAGAAAAGATTTGGGGCGGGGAAACATTGACCTGTATAATTACATTGGACACATCTCATTCCATCGTAAACACAAATTGCCTCATTCCGCGCCTTCCAACGTTTTGGACCTCTCGAAACCTTCTGGATCCCACCCGACGCATCCCTGTGCCGACTTGCAGCGAAATCCGAACGTTAGAAAATTTACAAACAACTTACGTCTGACCAAATTGGACCGTTGATTCGCGCAAAGCGCCCCGAAATGGTGTCTTGGTGTGGTGGGCAGCTGCCTTTGCCAGTGATGGACGGCACAATCATCAAACAAAAGCCGTAGATACATTCCGCTGAATGGTCGAGGTCTTGGTACATCATCTCACTACAGTACTCACAACACGTGTTCACTGGACTGAAGGATAGAGTGGATGTCATCCACGGACATTTCGCACTCAACGCAGGTCAAATTGGCTCATTGGCCTCCCTCCGTCTGGCCAACTCCACCTGCAGCTCCTGCGTTGAATCAGTGGCGGTCGTGACGCCGGTTTCCCGAATGGGCTTGAAATGAACCTGCACTTTTGAATTCATACATGAATGTGCCTGTCAAGGTCATGTCACCACACACAACAGTCACCACACACAACAGGTCTGCCAACGGTTCCAGGGCTCTGTTTCGCACTGCAGCAAGGTACTCAATGCGATGCACACCCCCGGGCCTGTTTTGGTTCTCCATGACAATGCGATGCGCCACACCATACAGGCCAAGGAGGATGTCTAGATTCATCAGATACTCCTTGGTGTGATCCGAGCTGCCGTTCTCATAGATGGATAGAAAGACGCTCCCCGGGCCGAGAAAGTCAACGAGTTTGAGCAGTTGAAGAGTGAGATCGGCAAGAGTCAGCTCATTGTTGAAGAGGTTAATTGCGATGAAGTACTTGGCGCCCCGGAGAGGCTCGTAGCGTGTCCAGTTTCGGCGTGCTGATAGCTCCTCGCACGCATCAGTAATCTTCATGGAATTCGCAAACAGGCCATACGCGAGCTCACGAGACAGATCTTTAGCTGGCTTTGCTTCATCTCCCTTCCCTGAGACGCGCGAGGGCAGATTACGCCCCAGTTGCGAGAGGAAGCCTCTGAGAGAACGCCACAGGTTCGTCGCCTTTTCGTGGCCACGTACAGGAAGCCCGCTACGCTGGACTTCGACATCCGGCTTCACAATCTCCTCCATAAAGTCATGGAAGGATTGCGGATATATCGCGGCCGATGCCATTGTTCTGACCACAATGGCAGCCAACACCGGCATCAGGGACATCATGTTCCCCTCAACAATTCGATTCGTCCGCTGAACAAAAAAAGAGGTGAACAACAACAATAATGCTCGTCGCGATGATAAGTCACTCACGTGGATTTGACGCAACCGATGCACTTGCGAAGGCGAGGGACGAAGGGCCGAGCCGAGCAACGACTGGCCACAGTTGACTCAATGCGGAGGGCACCGAAGGTGTCCGGAGCGCCGACGGCAGGCCAGTTCGTCTGAGTGATTCATGGGTGGCGGAGCGAGGGATGCGCGAAGCGCAGACCGACGAGTTATGATTTCCGAATTGGAGGAAATTATGCCAATAATGGTGCATCTTGTGTTCAGTGGCGTGATATAGAATAGGATAAACGAGCGCCTCCAAAACATAGTCTTCCCCAGGTATTCAACGATCGGTTTCCTGTAAGTCAACTTCCGTGAGTCGCAGGCTGCGCGGCAGGACACTTGAAAAGCATTCCAGCGCATCAACGCCACCGACAAAAACTGCCCCCAATGATTCATGACACCCTCATGAAAAAACGCACGATCCTCTGCAGAGCTGGCGGGTGGTGGGACACGGCGTCGCGCGAGGCGGCGAAGCAAAGTGAGGGTCTCCTCACCCCAACGGCCGAGCGTCTCCGCCGCAAGGGCACGAACGTGTAGCCCTTCTGCCGACAGTTGGCACCGTACTTGCGGTCCTTCTCTCGCTCCTTCCCCGCGGCTGCGATTCCGCCCGGCCGACGTGCATGGCTACGGTTGACTTGAGTGTGGTGGGCGGTGGAGTTCTCGGGCCAACACGGGTGGACCACTGTGACGTCGCACAGAATACCTTGGCCGTCGATGGGGAAGAAGGGGTCCATGCACTGGCTGTTGGGCTGGGCGTTTGGGCGGGGTGATGTCGAGAGAGCGCAGGGGCACTTCTGTGACAGCCGTGATGCCCACCTCCGCAAGGATGGCCTTGAAGACGTCCAGCAGAGTGTTGTGCTTGACCACGCGCTCCGCCGTCGCGCGGCTGCAGAGGAAGAAGTGATCCCCCAAAGCGTCGATGGCTGCTCCGGGCATGACTATGCGAGGCTGGCGAGGGGGACTTTTCGTGTTCCGACTTTCGTCTGGTGAGTCGCGGCAGACTGGGTACTGAGACTAATCATCTGCAAAGGTTGAGAATCGCCCAACAAAGGAATCTCATCGGCGCAGGCAAGCCGGTCGCACAATGTCATTATCAGGTGCCGAGTTAAAATAGGCGCGACAATGTGTAACCTATTCGACGCAACTTCACTTGATTGTTGAGTTGACTGTTGAGTTGATTTCATGGGCTTCTTCCACGACTGAGTAGGTGAAGCATGTATTCCATTACTTGAGATTTTATTTCATGTCACGGATGTTATTCCCTCTCATTTTTGTCCCATTTTTTCGTCCCTGCGACATACACTTACGGCAGAGAAAATGGAGAGCCTCCATTTTTCACGTGTCTTCCTCCTTGTGCTCGGTGTTTGTACCGTGCTTGTTGTATACCACCACCCGGTCTCAATCGTTTCCATTTCGAGAAACCTGCTTCGTGGACCTTCCGCTGGACAACGTCAGCCAGAATTGAATCAAGCGAGTAGCACCGAACAACGAATGCTTGTGGAAGCATGGGCTGACGTCTTCACGGGTTTCTCCAAGGTCGTCGAGAGCCCTCCGCAGGTGCAATATCAATACTTTCGACGTACTAGTGTGATCTCCATGTACATCACAGGTCAAACAAGTCATGTACCGCTTGCCCGAACCATGGAACCACGAGTTTCCGTTTCTGTGAGAACGATCTCTCAGACCTGTCCTGATTCAGAGTGAATTCCTTCGTGCAGGATCTGGAGTGAGCCAGATGAAGTGGGCTCCACGATTTCCCAGGTTTTGTGGGTGGGAAAATGAATACCACAACATTCCTGGCCTGGTTATCAAAAACAGGACGGATTCTGGCGTGATTGTATCGCTCACTTGAGCAACGTGGAGAGAATGAGACAGAGATACCCTGCTCTGCCGGCGCGGCCCCGCGTCCTTGAGATAGGGGGTAACATCGGAGCCTGCACCCTGGCCTTCGCTGCCATCGACTGCGAGGTTACTGTCTTCGAGCCGCTGCCCAAGAACTTCGCGATGCTTGCGCAAAATCTGCGCCTGAACCCTCAAGTAAGTCTTTTTTGTTATTCGACGATGATGGAAAAATGTTAGAAAGCTAGCCGTTCCTGTCTCCCGTCTGCGTATGCGTGCAGCTGGCGGAGAGGGTGCAGCTCTATCCGTTTGCTGCCAGCGACCACACTGAGGAATCTGTGGCGCATTGCCAGGCAGGTAACGCAGGCAACACCGTGGTTGTCCCGAAGGCAAACGCGGACCCGAAGCAGTCGCAATCGAGCTTGACAGGTAGCGTGACACTGCTGGCTCCATCGTGGCTCTCAGGGCAATTTCAGTCATTGTGCTGCAGCACAACCACTGGAAGGAGTTGTCGGAGGAAACTATCAGTCCTTTGATGTTTGGTCGCTACCTCTTCGGTGGTTTCTCGCCCCATCGACCGATCAGCAATATTTGAACAAAGCTATGTCTACGTCATTCAACATTCATCGGGGGAAGAATGAACAGCCAAATGCTGCCTTCAATTTCGTGAAGGTAAGCGTGACGGACAGGCACACGGAAATACGTGTAGTGCGGTGCGTGTGTCCTTTGTTCAAGATGGACTGCCAGGGTTGCGAGCCGGCGGCAATACGAGAGCTCTTTGCACTGTGTAAAGCCACAAGGACAGAGCTACCCGCGACCCTAGCGTTCGAGTATTCCCCCGTCCATTGGCAGTACGTCTTGGACTCCCGTCGGCATGGTACACGGTCGCCGAACTCCTCGGGAGAGGGTCTCGACAAGATGGATATTTTCAGAGACCTCGAGAGATACTATGACATCGCAGATAATTCAGGAAGAAACCTCGACTGGGAATCGCAACTGGATGTGGTGCTTGATTTGTGTGCGTGGAGAAAAAACCAAACAGAACTCCGATTGCCCTGAGCGTGAACCTTCGGAAACCCTGTCCCATGTCGCCTCTCCCGCTATCATGAATGAGGGAGGTCGTGTTGCCAGTAGTGTGCTCAGTCTGCTCACACAGTACGAAGGGTGCCGAGCACAGCTGACCGACTGCTATATCACTCTTAAATACTGTGAGACACAGCATGCACTCACCCTCTCCCTATCAAGTACGGGCGTAGGCCTACAGACACTGCTGCAGGCTTCACCCTCTCCTGCAGCAGCCCCTCTGCACTGTCTGTGGCGGCCCGTATGTCCGCCACTTGCTTGGCCCCCGGGGTGAAATGGGCGATGTTGGGAGTTGAGCTGCTCCTCTTGTGCAGGTAGATCATGTCCCTCACCTCGCCTTTGTGCTGCACTCAACGCACATGCACACCCGTGACTGCGAAGTGAAAATCCCCACCACAGGGCTGCTCGGTCTCGTCAGGGTACCACGAATCTGTGACGGATCATTGATGGACCGATTCGTGACTGACCAATTGAATCAGTGCATTCGCTCGTCGGGTTTTTGCTCGCTTTTGTCTCGATCGAGACCTCTTTCATACTCATCCATGTCTGTAGCCGGTCGACTGCCTCCACAGTGCGAAATTCACAATCAATAGGATGCTTTATCGCGGACGAACACAGATCAAGTCCATACACAAAAATGCGGATTGTTGACAAATAGCGCATGCATGTCTGTCTATCCATCACTGGTGCTTGTCATGCACAACTCGTCAACCATATGGACATGTACACTCTGGCAATCCCCTCATCTCTGCCCGGCTCCCCATCCCCTCATCTCTGCCCGGCTGTCTATGCGGCGCCCCGCCGGCCGCTGAGCGATACGACGGGCGCCACTGGGGCTAGTACACATGAAGTATGTGGGGCTAGCACCTAATTCGTGGCTGATCTATGTACATCGCTTAGGACCAGAAATGACACCTGACACCGACCGCCGCCGAGGGTATGGGAAACCTTGCTCGAATTCGCTAGTGCGCCTCAGCTGGCAGCTTTCAGACTCCTCCAGGTAGGAAAACATGTCACACTCGTCCTCCGCCGCACAGAGGTTTTGGCAAAGGACCACAGCTGCCATGTTGACGACACCAGTGGGCTGCAGCGCTCGAAGGCTGATGTCTTTGATCACCTCTTCCAGGTCTTCTCCACCCTTCCCAATATCCGGTTCATAGCAGCCGCACAGCACCGAATAGGGTGGCGGGCTAAGAACGACTGTGCCGTTCTCGGTCCTAACCACACTCAATGGAACTAGTGGCAGACAGACAGACAGACAGACCCACGCTACCTACCACGTGAAAGCGAAGCGAATAGGCTTCTCTACCTTTGAGTGGTTTTGACTGCTTGTCGAGTTCGACGGCCCCGTGTGTCACAGGGAGCACTTGCACGTAAATGGTCAATTGAGTTGAGCCGTCTTCACCACCAGGGGGGAAGGTGATGTCTGCATCTCCCACCGTCCAACCGCCGGCACCGTCAGTCACGGTGACATTCTTCGCCGCCATGGCATTGATAAGCTCACGCAATGTGATAACCTCTTCGAATGCGCTCTTTGTCTTGTCCATTACATAGCGGCCTGGTTGTTTTGGATCTCGAGCAGTACTCACGTACACAAGCCATTTCGCAATGTCTGTCACCCCGTTGTACGACATGTGTATCGCTGCAAGTAAAGCAGAGCGAAAATGCATCCGTTGCCAGCCATCTGTCACTGCTGCGCATACTCCAGTCTTCTAGCTGGGCGCTCGTGTCCGGGGCCTTTGCATAATCGCTGCACAGAAGCAAGCGAGGGGGGTTTGTCGAGCGGCCCGAGAATGGGACCAAAAAGGTCTGAGCGTTAAAGGGAAACAGACACAGACACGACGTGATGTTAAATGTCCCAACTTTTCCTCACCCGATGTCCTCTCATATCCAAGCTCGTGAATTCACGGACGATACGTGCATTCTCCTCGTACGTTATTTCCGTAGCGAGGGGTCCTCCGATTCCCCAAGAGATCAACACGCTTGGTTGGCCAGACCTGAAGTATATATTGCATTCATTGTATTTCTCACTTCGCCTTCCCCCTTTTTTACTCATGGTCTATCATCTGGACCCCTCCACAGCAGACGGAAGGCCTGCAGACAATTGCTTTTATAGGCATGAGGAAAACAGTAGGAAGATACCTCCTTCCAGGGTGTGCGTATTGCCACACGTTGACTGCCGTCTTTGCCTCGATATCGAGCTCCCACTCCACTGCTCGGGCGTACGGCCGGCTTCCCATTGAGGTAAAGTTGTTGTTCACTTCTGCAAGGGTGAGTGAGGCGAGTCCACAAGTATTGAGCTCTGAAGAGTCACTCTTACCCTCGCCTGGAACCCACTGATTGTCAAGCCTGACATGGATTGTGCAATCAGATGAGTGAGTCCTTGCTCTTTTCAGTGCAGCAGCTTCGCACGTACATCAAGATATTCCCATTCGGCAGCTGCACAAAATCCCACTCAACGTAAAAGGAGCAAGGACAAGCGTGTCGCCATTCTCACCTGATATGGCCTGTGCTGTCCGATGAAGGGCGGGTCATCCCTTGAGTTCTTGTCCTCAACGTTCTTGTCGACGACCGTGAAGTCGCTGTACACCGTTTATACCCTCTATTTCCGTGCCACAGATGTGCGTTTCTTTCACGTTAGACCTTGTTTCTCCGCCGCCCAGGCGCCATAGGATCCTTCCAGTCCTCCCACTTACAAGGAAAACGAGGTTCGCATGTCTCATGGATACGATGTAATTGCCTGTGTTTCGGAAATCGTCAGGCTGCTGGCCGGTTCATTTTCGGTGGCCTTTCCTACTCACCATCAGGTGTCCGCTCTGTCAGGATCGAAAGGTCATATGGGCAACAGAGCAGGGTATTTGAACCTGTCGAGCTCACCCGCTGAATTCGTATGATAGACCTGCAAGGGCAGATAGAGAGAACATCCACGCAGTGAAAAAAGCCGTATCTAAGCACCTACATCGCCTTTGTCTGCAAGCGCCGGATCAGATGCTCCCACTGCATAAATAATCACAATGGCCAGCGATTACCCACAACATAGTGTACCGAAGTCATCGCATGAGCGCCTTGAAAACGGAAGGACACACAACATGCCTTTTTCACATACCTCTTCACTCTTACTTACCATTCGAGCAGGACATTCCCTGGAGAGAGGGAGGGATGGAGGGAGGGAGAGAGAGAGAGAGCGCGTTACAGACAATGAAGGTGTGCCAATCAGCCACTGAATGTGAGGATGCCTTGCCTTTGTTGAGACTTGCTCACTAACCGTCAGCGTCTTTCAGCTGCAAGACATTCTCAACCTTGCCATTTATTGGAGTATAGATTGTAAGCAGATGACTCCCGTCTTCATAGACCTCGAAGAAGTGTCGGTTCAAGCTGTAGCCGTGCCCTGAGAGTCACGCATGTGCAATTGTAATCAGTGGCAGGAATTGAGCTGCTCACCCGCTGTGTATTTCTTGATCTCTTCGTATCCTGGTCCGAGTTCTTGGGCAATCCAAATGCCGCCATCCCGGATTGTAAATGTCAATGAACCGGACGGCTGCTTCCGAAAGTCTGAGACTGCTCTGAGCCTCCTTTGACTCCACCAAACACGATGTCCAGTCGACGAAAGGATGTGTAGCTGACCTTTTTCAAAGGAGCTGAAAAAAAAGTGCAAACCGTCCTCGGCACATTCCCCATCGACTCCGTGACATTCAACAGCATCTGCCCAGCGAGGCAACGTTCGCGGACGCTGCGTGGTATCACCAGCGGCGTTCTCACGCACGTCATTGTCCAAGTTGGGCAGCGACATTGGCACCCCGGAAGGGCCACGTACCGTAAAGCTCCACTGGTACGCCCCTATTGCAAGGCTTGTGAGGGCGTCAACTCGCACTCTTAGTCCCGCACGGAACGTCACGTTGACTCGCTGGTCAGGAAGGAAGGGCCTTGTCGGGACGAAGATGACAGTCTTGTTGTCAAGCGCCAATACCACCCTTCCATCAATCGTCCCGTCACATACCGTGAAAAGATCCCTCAGTTCATCGGGCTCGTTGACAACCCCACGCCCCTCTCTGCGTCAGCCACACAGAACAGAATTCACAGTGTCTGTGCGATCTGCTGTGAAGCTTACCGCTTACCTGACGGCAATTGACGTGAGTTCAGACACGTGCAGTGCATTCGGCCGTGGGTGCAAGTACTCATACTGGCCGCTGCCGTACGGACGGGTGTCATTTTCTGCAATGAAGCGTTTGCCGTCAAGCAGGCGTCTTTCAACAACTGCTCGATGGGAACCCGCTGCTTTGGAACGACTAAAGGAGACCACAACCAGGACGACACAAAGGTCAACGAAGTCACCAGATGTCATTCTCCGACGTAACATGAGGGTCCGCTATTTCGTCTCATGCATCGTGTCTCATGGTATCGGACAACTTCCCTATGTACTGCCGTTGCGCTTTGTGTAAAGTATCTCCTGCAAGCAGTTCCATACATTTCTCAAAGTTGTGTATCGGAACTTAAATCGTGTCTCGGGAGGATTTGGTTGCGCGGGGTGGATCTGAAGCCAGGGCAGGTGGGGTGGTGTGCCACAGACTTGCAATTGATAAGGACGGAAGGTCATCATTCACTTATCCCCTGGGGGATCTTCCAAGGAATGAGTGGCGTTTCAGCAAGGGTGTCGGCTAGCTGACTGAGTGCCTCAGGGGACCAAGGTGTGGGCAGACAAGTCGTATACCCAGGTGCGCTGTAACGTAGTGCGAGTCCGTGTGCGCGTGGTGGGCGGGATGATGCCGAGTGCAGGGGCACCTCCACATTGGAAGGAACAATTGCCTCAGCCAGGATGCGAACAAACAAGTTGCGCATGTTCTTGTGTGGCGTGACCCGCTCACGACCGGTGTGTGACACACGTAGAAGTGATCGCCAGACTTGTCAACCCCATGAGAAAACCGCCAGTGAAACGTGCAGAAATGGAAATGTTAATCCGGCGCTAATCTCGGGATCTGTCACTTATCAAACTGACAGTATGTGCTTGTATACACTCCTGTCTGCGCTCGCCTTCTGCGGTGCTGCCTCCTCTCGAAGCTCAATCGAATTGGATCGGAAGCGCTTCATTGTGGAGGGAGCCGTTAGGCCGTATGGAGATGGTCAGTATGAATACTTGCACCCACGGCCGAATGCCCTGTACGTGTCGGAGGTGACGTCCATTGCCGTCAGGGAGGGCGACGAGGTCATCTCGGGCAACCTGGACAGCCTCTTCAACGTGACTGGCGACAAGACCGGGCGTGTGACGGGGAGAGCTGTATTAGGTCGGGACAACAAGACACTAGTGTTCCATGCAGATCAGCCATTCGCCCCAGGGGAGAAGGTCAGTGTCAAGTTCGGTCCCGGCCTCCTCGTTCGGCGCTCTGAGAATCTCACTGAACATGAGACAAGCCCCTACGAATGGACCTTTCTTACGCGAGGGGAGTCCGTGGCGACGAGCGTACAAGCAATGTCGACGTTATCGTCTGACTTTCTCCGTCCCGGGCCACCGGGCCGCCTCGGGCACTCCGTGAGATCGCTCCTGCCTTTAGATCAACACAATGAAGAGGACATGCTCAGAAACTCGTTGCCAATGGATCGCTACCGCACTTTGCCCAGATGGGCCGCAAAGTGGAGGCCATCATCGGAGGGGGAGAAGGCGGCCTTAGGCGGGAGAAACAAGGAAATTGGTGCTAGTAAAGAGCTCTACTTGTTTACTACTGGGTGGGAGATGGGGAATGGGGAGACCGGTCAGTTTATGATCGTTTCGCGCGAGGTATGGACGTACACAGAAACTCAAGTACATTTCACATACACTGACACTCGTGTATCTGGTACAGGGAGATCTGGTGTGGTGGACTCGGAGGTCTGGCGGCGGGGCCTGCATGTTGGGGGCGACACCGAGTGGCCATGTGGTGCTTTGGGACAAGAGGACAAACGACAGCGCCCGTTTTGTGTATGAGCTCAACTCGACCTATCAGATCGTCGATAGACACGAACCGGGTGCGTGGAATCTGTCCACGGATGATATGAAGACTCATTCATTATGCGCAAGCAGGTCACGGCTATCTACACGTGGACCTTCATTTTCTCTTCTTTGACGGCGACAATAAAATACTTATGTCTCCCACGGAGATAAATGGGATCCAACATTACGGTCAGTGAGAGAAACATCGTTGAGTAACGCCACCCTGCACGCCCATTCTTTCTTTTGGGTTTTCTGCAGTGCTGCATGTCTTAGATGCTGCCCGGTTGGCATTGCTGCATGTGACGGGAGGAAAGGATACAAGGTTTTGCAATTGCTGTCGCAGAAATGTGCTATTGGAGTGGAGGACAATTGATGACTTTATAGACGAAGCTGATCCCGCAATACCCGAAGAGACTGACCTTCCAAACGATTTTTATCACGCGAACAACGCTGAGCGGACGGCAGACGGTACGTCGCAGCAGCGCAGGCCAGTACTGCATCTGTCCATCGCGCTTGGAAGAATGCAGGCAACATACTCATCACAATGCGGAACTGCAACCAGCTGGTGTTGCTGAGCGGGAAGACGGGCAGGATTTTGTGGCGCATGGGTGGCAAAACAAGGTACTCGTGTCCGCGGGTCAACATTTACTCACGTACGTCTGCATATTTATCGCAGTGACTTCACATTCATCGGCGAAGACATGGATCCGCCCTTCTTGGGACAACACAATGCTCAGCAGCTGCCGAACGGCAACATTCTCATGTAGACAGACAGACAGACAGACAGATAGACAGACAGACAGAGATAATTGTGTGTTTCTGTGAGGAATGTGTAGGTATGACAACGGGCGGAAGGGGCCATTCAGTGCAGGTGGGTAATTGCTAGCGCCGTGTAGGTAATATGTTTCGCGCCGGTACAGGGAGGCCGTCACGAGCACTGGAGCTGCAATTGGACCTCGAGAATATGACAGCCACCAAAGTCTGGTCCTTCACGCACCCCACTAAGTAATCAGCGCGAAGCGAAGAGGACAGAATGCGCTTGCTTCTATTCTGCAGCCTGAGCAGTGCCTGCTGTGGTGGGGTCCAAATGGTCGACAACGGGAAGTAGGATTTGAGGCGTCCTCATGGAATTGACGGCATCTCTCTGATTTGTTCGGATCGCAGAAATGAACCTCCAACCGTTCTGATTGCCTGGGGTTGGTCGGGGCCATTCTTCACCGAAGTGACATACGAAGAGGAGCCCCGCATAGTCCGGGAGTTCGAGGGCTTTAGAGCCCAACGAGGCCACCTGCACCACTGGGAGGGATCCTCGGCTGAGCGGCCGAGGCTGTTGCTCTGCAGCGACGCCAATACGCTGGCTGCTGAGGGCCTTGAGCGCTGGACCGTCCATTTCTCGTTCAATGGGGTGACAGGTGCTTTGATGAATCGTGCACACATATAGACTCACATGCGTACATGTCCCTCTGCCCACCAGGCATCACCAAATGGCGCTTGCACATCGGAGCTGACATGATTGAAGTTCTTCTCAGCCGGCACCTGATCGAGCGCACAAAAAAGGCCTTCGAGGAAATCATATCACTGCAGGAGCTGATCGACACTATGGCGGCCAGGAACGTCACTCTGACAACAGACAGGAATACGACCGACGTGGCCTTGTATGTGCGAGTGGTGCCCATCAAGGGCGATAGAGAACTTCTCAGAGGGTCGAAGGCTCTAAAAGGTGGGCCGCCTGCCATAACACATAGAATAGAATGCTGTTTGTGTCTCTCTGTCTATGTTGAACCAGTGCCGATGGTCGTCTCATCCCGCGACGAGAGCAGTGGTGCTGTCACTCTGTCCCCTCCATCCCAGCCAGTGCTCTGCGGGTGCTACCAGCCCGACATTGGTCTGCGAAAGCACCTGGCCAGACCGAAAGCCAATCGTGAGAGCACTTTTATCGACATGGCAGCCGTCGAACAGTGTGCCGAGTCATGTGTGGCCAATGCAATGTGCCAAATGTTCTTCTATTTTGAGAACACGGGCGAGTGTGAGGTGCACGAAACAAACTACCTCGATGGAGAAAAGCTAAGGATGGAGCTTCACTCCGTGCCTGGTGTCGTCTCTGGGCTGAAGGAGTGCCTGCAGCATGACGAGCTGTCCTGAATCGCACTGCCGTCCCCGCGCGCTATCGTTGTCGTCTCTGTGTGTCTTTCTTCTGTTCTATGGTAGAGTCAATTAGTTATCTGTACCTACCAACTGTAGGAGATTTTGACTACATGAAGGGCGACGAAGCTCGTCTAAGCATCAGCTAGTATCAAACAGGCAAAGGGACAGCCGCAAATATCAAATACCTCACACATCGCACAATAATTCGCACAACGTGACAGCGAACGACCAACCACACCCACCCCAGTGACCCGCCCATTTATGCATGCATGGGTGCGTATCACCACCTTAACGTCCCTCTTTCCCGTCCATGGAGAAGGTGACGACCCGCCTTCCTCAGAAAGCCGACAGGCTGCCGACAAACGTGCCGCCATTGAAGATGGCGCGATCGAAGAATGGGTCACTGAGCGTGCCTCGATGGCCCTGATTGGGTGGGGATACTAATCAATATGTCTTCTCAATGGCCATGTCTTGTAGTGGATGAGTGTCCTTCCTTTGGTTGTGCATGTGCGTCCCGGTTATCGATGGTTTCGTGAGGCTACTTCCCCACAGAGAGGACTAATTGCCGAATGAACACCTTGAGGTCAGCGTAGAGCCAGTCGGGCTGTGTGTACTTGATTTAGGAAGAGGGAGACCGACAGACTCTGCCTGCCGTTGCGCTATGAGTTTATGCATCTTCAGAAGGTATCGTATCCCCATCCACCCTCCGCCACGCACAGGCCACTGGTTTACCGCTCCTCCCCCTTTATGAGTTTCTGCACGTCGATACTGGCTCCGTTGTCGTCCAGAGAGCGGCGACCAGCCTCGAGCAACGCTGTTAGCTGAACGAACAGATATGCAGCACATGCACACAATTGTGGCCATCCCGCGTTTCAGAGAGATATTGCTCTTGACCTCCAGTGTCGTTTCGAGAGTTGGCAGGGTCGCGTGGCATTCTTCGAGCGTTTTCTCTGCTCGGCCAAGCCGTACATGGCGCAGTGAATCTTGCCATTGTGTATGCACATGCTCACTTCCATGGTTGAGATCCCTGCATGCGTTGACCCATGTCTCAATCGACAGGTAACCATATCCACGCTGACCGGCGTAGTAGCCAGCAGAGTCTGACGAGAAGTGAAATGGGCACAGGGTAAGCCTCTGGTAGGCAAACCACATTTCGCAGTGGCTGACCTCTGGTGTATTTCATGTACATGGGGTTGACGCTCATGTACTTTCGATCAGCTGTGACCTCGTAGCCCCGATGAGCTTGGTCAGCCTGCAGCAGCACCCATCGACGCAGCCACTGCCCCTGTCTGTTTAGTGTGTATCTGCTCACCCTGACTTCTCCATTGTGGCAGAGACACTGAAAGCGCTGCTGTGAGTGGACCTCTAAGGCGCGTGGCATGGAGCATTTGAGACGTACACTGCCGTGTCCGTGTCTGTGCACCTACCCGCGTTGTCTGGTGCCGTCCACGCAGCAGTATACACTGCAATCCCCTTGTTCCCTACATGAGGAACAGCTGCGATCAGCACAATGCCATACGGCGCAGCTTCTTACCAGAAGGGATATTCTTCCACTCAGACAGAACGGTGATGACGTCCTCGGTATTCGGAGGGCACCCTAGACAAAGGATCAAACAATAAAAGACATCTGGCAAGTGGTGTCTGCGCCTCACCGTATTTTCCCGACGCCACTCCCGTCGATCCGAAAGCCGTCACTTTGACCGGCACGGCTCTGCCCTGCATGGCCCAGCAGTGGATGTCCATGTGGTGAGAGTTCAGATAGTAGCTGATGTCAGATGACCTGCGCAGGTATGGCACGCGCTCGATAACTCTGCCTCTAATCGCTTCGTGTAGGTTGTCGTTTGCCTACTTTCCTGCCCATGCCTTGAACGTCTGCAGCTGGCTCTGCGGTTGACTCATGTAACTATTGAAATATGTAAAATCGCCTGATGAGCCAGCACAATCATGCTTTATCGAAGTCGTATGCAGTGGCACATCTACCGTATGAGCGTATCCGTTCTCTCGCGTCTGCATAGATTTGGTCCCATCTCTTGTGAAGTTCTATCTGGACCAACACTCTGTACTGATCGGACACACCACATAGAGAGAGACGAAAGTGACGGGCAGTAGGCTCCCGCTCGGTGCATGCGAGTCGATCCCACCTTTCTCGCCGCATCCCTCAGCTTGATGTGCTCATCCACCGTCATGACAGCAGGCTTCGTTACTGCAAGAATAAACTGTGGGACTGCATGACACAGCTGCCTCGTGTGCGTGCTTACCCAGCACGTGGCACTTGCGCTCGACGGCATACATGGCGATGTCGAAGTGGGTATCATCGGGAGTGAAGATGCAGCAGCCTGACCCTGCACTCAAGTAATACCCATGTGTGACCCCGACCCTTCCCGCCGATGTGGCCATGGGTAAATACCTGGCTTTAACGCGTCAATGGCCGCCTTGTAGGCCTGCGGATCTCTGTCAATGCCGTCAGCCGGGAACGTGTCGCATGTGACGTCCATGTCACGGTACTGCTCTGCGATTCCTTTCTGGAGGTGGTCGCGAATCGCGGCGAACTTCCTTCCACTCGTACCCACCATACTGAGCGAGGAAACCACTCCCCGCCTCCGGAGGTCAAACAAAACAAGGCCAACGACTCCCACGCGTTTATCCGGCGCCGCTTCAAGACCAGGCACGTAACCCGTCGTGTACTCCCCCGTCCCAACCATGCACACGTCCAGAGGCTCCATTGCTCCACTCGAGCTTAGGACAGCTGTGCCGTCAAACCCCAAAGCAGGGAGCGCCATGGAGATCCCACCTCTTCTTTTCCTGCATTCAGCCTTCATCTGTTCTGCCCTCGGGTTCTCCCCCCTCGGTTCACATCTGAGGCTGGCGCCCCGTCATGACGACTCATCCGCTCATCTGCGTGGACCGTGCCGGGTCACATCGTCTCGCTCACTGAGCTGCGTCAGTCCATCGCCTTCCTCTGCGCCCTCTGTACCTCCGGCGAGCGTGCCGACTGCGCAGTCCCTCTCGGTTCCCCAAAGATGGTCTTCGGCCCTCAGTCTTAAGGCCAACCTGACAGATGCAACGGCAGATGCAGTGGAGGCAGCAAGGAGTCAGCTGCCACAGGGGGTGACGCCCGATCTTGCCATCGTTCATGCTTGCAGTCTGTACTCGAGCAAGTTCCAGTGGGACGGTCTGGTGCCCCAGATGAGGCGCATGCTCCCTGATGTCAAGGCGATCATTGGAACGACGACGGGGGGGAACATCGGACGATCTGCGGAGAGGGAGGAACCAGGGGAAGCACAGGAGGCAGAGGGTGTTCCATCTGTGTCGGTCACGCTGGCCAGTCTGCCTGATGTCACCATCAAACCCTTCCAGATGTAACCGCTGAAAGGGCGAGGGACATATGTGCAGGGAGATGATTTATGCTTCGGTGGGCTGTATCAGGTTGGCATCTGAGATACCGGACAAGTTCGACCCCGCTGAAGACTGGATCTCTTACCTGGGTGTGCCCCCGTCAGACGTGCCCCTCTTCTTCATGTACAGCACCCCCCGATTCATGCGGCTTCAGGGCCTTGACAATGTCATCATTGGGTTGGATCAGGCCTACCCGGAGTCCAAGAAAGTTGGTGGCCTGGCAAGCACCTTTGGCGCCAGCAGCAGTCCGGCCATATTTGCATGGAGGTAACAGGGACAACGCCCTCATGCACTGATTCATCCATGCGTCGGTATGGTTGCAGTGCCATGTCATCCTCTTCAAACTTCAACATGACAGCATTGTGGCCCGAGAACGTTCCTGCTGGTGAGATATCGCTCGACACCTTCGCACAGGATGGCCTCATCGGCCTCATGCTCGTCGGAGATATAGATGTATGCACACGGAAAACATGACGACCGGTGCCTAAGCACATATCCTCCTTGTTTGTCAGGTCCGCACTCGCCTCGCCCATGGTTGCCGTCCAGTCAGTGATCGATTCCGTATTACCAAGTGCGAGCCGCACAAGATCGTGGAGATTTTCAAGGATGAGCCGCCATCACCACAGAAGATGGTGGACCTGGAGGAGCTGTCCGAGACTGCGCAATCCTTCGCCGCTCTACAGGGGGCGAACGCTGAAAAACGAATGAGCGAGGACGGCGTCGGAGCCGCAGACACCGTGCCGATCGAGTCATGGAAAGCACACGAAGTGAAGAGTAGATGTTTCCTATATGGTTTTTGGTGCTCCGTCTGTTATGCCTCAGTCCCTGGAGTGAGTATACGCGTCTGACGTATGAGTTGGACGACACCGATGCCAATCTCATCAAGAAGGCAACCATGCTGGGAGTCGAACAGGTAACCGGCTTGACTGCCAAGAACTTGACACCAGTAACCGGCCATGTAATATGCAGGTCCCCATGCAGCTACCGTCCCCCTCCGATGTGTCTCAAGCATCATCAGCCGCTTCGAGCAGATACCTCGTCGAGGAGGTACACACATACCGCGAGAGATGAGATGTCGCGGTCGATTGTGTGGTGTGCTCACCAGCTGCCCAAGGCCAGCTTTCGTGAAGGCGGTCTGCTGATCCAGCAGCCCATACAGGAGGGACAGACGATGCGTTTCTATGTGAGAGATATGTACGGTGCGCAGGTCGACCTCTCTGAAACACTTCAGAGGCTCGCCTACGACCTGGATGAAGTAGGTACACTCACCATGTGAGGTCGACACGTACGGAACATGAGCTGGCACGTGGCGTCTGTCACTCTTCTGGGGATGGCAGGACGCCACATTTCGTCCGGAGGGCCTGTTTGTCCTGAAAGGTCTAGATCGCGGCCGCAAGCTGTTTGGCAAGGGCAACTATGAGGTGGAGAAGCTGCGTGAGTGGGGCTATGACGGCCCTTTAATGGGTTTTTTTGGCGACGGGGCTATCGGACCCATGATCAAGGGCGGGAACACCTACCTGGTCATCACACAGGCACCCACAAAGTATGACGGGCAATCGTCGTGATTGGGCTGGCATGTCTATTCGATGCAGTACGGGAGTTGTTCGCTATTTGTTGAGATTGGTCCGAAGAACCCCGACAGGACGCGTGCGTCCACCCCTATGAACGAGACAACCCGTGCGAGACTGAGAGAGATAAAGAGGCAACGGGGAGGCTCCTTCATGGTGTCACCATTCACTTCAAAAGTCGACTATTCGCCTGACAATCCCGATCCAGATATCACGGTGGGTACCAGAGAGGGTGGACACTCCACAGCGCTGCCACTCGCGTTGCGTGGTGTTGCAGCTACCCCGGCGCCTGGTGAATGTAGCCCGTCCTGTGAGCATCAGCACAATCGAATTCAGCCTGCCTGAGCTGGCACCGCTGCCCTCACATAGGTGCGTCAACGTGGGATGCACGTGGACAGACGTGTGGCAGGCAGAAAGCAGCTGGCATGTCTGTTTGTCTGCCGCATCAGATTGGAGGAGATGGTCTGGAGCAAGGAGATGGAAGTGGATCGTCTGAGGGACAGATACCCCATGTCAAATCTCATGTACCAAGTCGGCGAGTACAACCTCCGCCCGGCCAACCGCCCGAGGGATCTCTACGGCTCGCTATGTCGACAGAAGGCCGAGAGAGGCGTGGCGCTGGTGGGGGAGTGCATGAAGGCGTCTCCTAATCACGGCATTCTCAAGGCCAAGTACGACCCAAAGGCCATCGCAAGCACATACGCCGACGGTGGGGAGAGGAGGGGCGTGGCCGCAGTGTCGGTTCACATTGATAACAAGTGAGAACTCAGGCAGGCAGCCTTTTATATGCGCAACAAGGGACTTGAATCTGCACATGCTCAACTGCGTTAGGTACTACGCTGGGAATTTTGACGACTTGGGTGCGGCACGAAGAGGATCGACTGTGCCAATCATCGCCAGTGACATATTCGTATACGCCTGGCAAGTAGGCAAAGGGACGAACGAGCACCGGAGGAGGGCGAACCGAAAGGGAGTTTCGTCAGTTGTGTTGGTTCCTCAGATTGTCCGTGCGCGGCTCGCTGGTGCGGATGCAGTCAAAGTAAACGCATTGCACACACTAGCATTCGCTCCCTGCCTTCTATTTTATTGCAGTTGGTTGCTGCTGTCTTGTCTGACCGTGACTTGCAAGCCTTCCTGAAGTAAGCAATGAGCACTGCACCAAAAGCAGACAGGGACGATGTCGCCCACCTGGTGTCTTTGCAGAGTGTGCGAGCGCATATCGGTGCAAGCGATCGTCAGCGTCAGCTCCCGCGAGCAGCTTGAGCGATGTCTCCGGCTGGATGGCTGCAAAATCGTCGCCATTAATAATCTGAACTTCTGGGATATGCAACCCGATGTACACAGGTGCTTAGCAAAGACACGAACCAGAAGTCCATGGCTGGACCCCGGGGGCTGCTTGCCTTTCAGAACGACTCGATTGCTCACAGACGAAATGAGAAGGCGCCTGAAGGAAAAGTGAGTGCGTCAGGGGTCGACGGCAGCCCCCACGATTCCTGCAACCGTGTGTTTGTCTGATTCATCAGAGAGATCTTTGTGCTATCTGAAGGAGGGGTGGATACCGCCGAGGAGCTGAGGGCGGTCGTCAGCGCCGGTCCGCAAACATGTCGCTCATGATTCATGGCTCCTTATCTGTCTGCCTGCTTTTGGTTGCTCTCAGGTGCCGACGGGGTGATTCTGTCTGAGGCTGTGTTGCGTGATGCTGACCCGCGGTCGGCGATTGAGCGCATGCTGACCTAGAGTGGCAAAATTGCATTAATGTCGATCGTGGTCATAACGGAGAGACAAAGAGAGAAGTGAGTACATGCATGTGTGTTCCATAAGACCAGGTCCTGACTATCACAGTCGCGTGGTATCTGTTTGTCCTCCTTGACCACCAAAGACATTCTGGGGGGCTGTCTCCACCATTCATGATGTTTCACTGAGCAAAAACATGGACACGCGACGAAGTTCGTCTAGGCACCAGTTCGTATCAAGCAAAAGGAGCAATACAAACTGGATATAAATCAGTATTCAACGTTGTCAACGCCAGTGAACAACGCTAGCGCGCTCTGACTGCATACAATGAATGTCTCAACACTGCAAACAGGCTTAGGGCATGCACCACATCACACACAGCATCCAGATCCAGCCAGCCCCCTCACAGCCCCGGAGCGGGCTGGTGTGTGCCCCCTCCTCACAGCCCCGGAGCGGGCTGGTGTGTGGCCTATATGGCCCGCGGCTGACGAAGTCCTCGGGAAACGCGCTGGCCGTCCGTGGCCCTCTGGCGGCCGCAGCAAGTTGTGCACGACTCGCCCCCGGAACGTTTTGTGCTTCATCAGCTCCATGGACAGCTGACTGGCTTGCTGCTCAGCCAGGCATCCAGTGTGTCATCTCTTCTCCAGAGAACGTGCACGAGCATTGGTGTCTCAGGATGACCAAAGCAAGAAGCGCTTCATATATATCGCGGCTACATTCATTGTGTCGTGACACTCTAGTTCCAGATCGAACCCACATTCGACGGTTGAACCGCAGAATAGTGTATGTGGCTATCTTCTCAAGTGCAACTTCGCGTTCATGGCTTCCTGTTTGCTCTGTGTGAAGTGAAGTAAGCCCTACACCTTCCCCACCCGTCCATCCAATCTCGGTCATCCATCAGTGAAAGAGACCTACTACATATGTCCATCTACATATTGCTCTACGTAGAGAAGTGTCACGTGCATCGCACGCACCTTTTGGGAGGCACTCGCCTACCGGAATGCCCTCGTTGAGAACATCGAGCGCGCGAAGGGGACGGGTGTCCCTCCCGAGGTTCCGAACAAGACGGAGGTGGTGCGCCAGCTGTGGCAGACATACAGACTGCCGGTCAGGGGGGAAGAGATGGTGTGGAGAGACCAAGCAGAGGGACGGGGAGAAATGAAGGAAACGAGCATAGCGAGTCTGAGGCTGTGAGAGCAGGCGATGAAGTTTTTGGAACTGGGTAATGTGTGTGTGTTCGTGCAATGTAGACATGAGTAATGAGTTTGACCTAAAGGGCGGGAATGAGTAAGGAATGACTAATGGTCTCCAATGTAATGAATGAACGATTGAGTGAACGTCACGGCATATAATATAGCGCAGACGAGTGGCAGAAAGAGCTCCTGAGCGGGAACAGTCGTGGTTGCATTATGAGTCTGTCCACACCCCGACATCACAGATCCTGCACGTGGACACTATGATACGAGAAGCTCAGGCGTCACTTCCTCTAAGCTGATGAGGAGACCCCTGGCAGATTGAGCCCACGACGAAAGCCTCGACAGAACTGTAAAAGAGTAATAGAAGTAGGCAAACGAAGTTGTCACTGATGTCAGTGAATGCTGGCCTTACTTCTTTGGTTGGATTGCGGGTCTGCTTGTTGGTACTGTCCAAGCGCGTCCTCAAAGCGACGCAGAAAGACAACTATGTCGCGCGTACACTGAACGGACACGTGCAGATGGTACAACGCCATGAGACGTGTCTGAAATGGCGCGTTTCCCCACCTGTGTGATGTTATCAAGGAGCTTGGTTGCCTTGTCGGGGCTGTCAGAGACCTGTCCTGTCAGCATCTGCTTCAAATTAATACGCTGGACCCCAACACTGCGGAGAGCGGCATAATCAATCGCAAAAGCATGCAATCCACGCATGTAAGGGAAACGCTGCCATTTCGTACCATATCCATCTGAGTAGCAGCTCGATGAGACTCGCCTGGCTGGCCTCCGCAGCGGCCATCCCCTCGGTCTTACGTGTGCCACTGGTGGCGCCTTGCTGCGATAGAATGCTCTGCGCCAGGCCCAGCAGATGACCCGCGAGCATCAGCGGCACCGTCACACAGTGATACACAGGGCTGCGCATATCCAATGGATCATCTGCTGGGGCCGCTGAGGCAAGCTCATCGTAGCTGGAACAGAAATCACCAATCAGGAGACAGTAAGCGCTGGATGCTCTCTCCACTTGTATCTCACAATGATTCAGGGGTGCATTTCTCGATCTCGCGACACAGCGCAGTGAGCGCATCGTCATTACCTGAAACACAATACACGTGAGCAAACATGCATTCTCTCGGGGTCCGTTCTCGTTGCACTGGGCTAACCTTGCTGCCGGCTGCCGTCAGCCTTCAGACAGAACAAGGCAACCCGCTCGAACGCCAAGGTATATTGGCAACGTTGCATGAGCTGTGTGATTTGTGCGCCGATGTCCCGCGAGGATGAGGAGAAGGGTGCTGGTGGTGGTGCAGCCTGCTGCGACGCTGACGACATGGTGCTATGCAACGACTGAGTGAATGAAATCAGTGACTCCAGCCTGTCAGCCTCACCTACGAGCTGAACACGCACACACAGTTCGCGAATCCTCCTTTCTCTGTCACCTGCATGCCCGCGCTTTCGTACCCCTTTTTCATTGTCGCTCGCATCCCCCCTTCCTCTGCGAATGTCGTCCGCTCGCTGCTGTGGGTTGGTCCTGCATTCCAGAGCCGTCGCATCGCTATCGAACGAAATCCGCTCAGGCAAGGTCAACGCAGGCCGCGCCGTCTCCCGCGCCTTGTCAATCATCTCGCGACACAGCATCTCCACGTTGCCTCTCACGATTTCCTGCAACCCCGGGCACACAGTATCACAGCGGGGATCGGTTGCCCTCTCGTAAGGTATATTTCTTACTTACATTCAGCTTCTTCTGGATCGATGCGGTGGGTTCATTGACGTAGGCCACGACGCACGGAATGAGACGCTCGTGGCATTGTTTGGTGAAGTCTTCACGGAAGGACGCCTCCAGAGCTGCCAGCACTGTCTTGACGGAAGTGGCAGTCGCATCGCTCGTCTCCTCGACATCATACGCCAACCGGCCTTCGCCCTTGCTGCACGGAGGCACGAACAAAACCCATAACGACAGTAGTGACCAATGGATGCTGGCATCATCGTACCTGTCCTTGAGTAGTTGCGACGCATCGAGCTTCCCCAATTCGTGCATGAGAGTGACGCCAGCCGATTGCTGCAGTAATCAGTCAACAGTGGCCACTGGCCTTGCACCCGTTTGCCTGCCCGCTGACCAGAACGTCATCGATGCCTTTGTCCAATGCCGTCGACCACGATGCAGGGCCTGCGCTGGCGCCTTGGTAGATGAGCTCTATCAGCTGGGGCACCATGTCACGCAGACCCGTCTTGACCAAGCTCGTGAGGCGCTTCTCCAGGTTGTCCAGCACTGATGTCATCACAAAGCCCACCGAACCTATGCGTCGATTTATGTCATGTTTACCTGGCTTCTTCTCGCATTTCTTACCAAGGTTGACGGATGGCTGTGACGTCCCCGTTCCTTCGATTGCATTCCGCAGCGCGGCCCCTGTGTTGCGCAGATTTGCGAGGTACTGCTCAGCACGCTGGCCCTCCTGCCGAGCAGCCTCGCTGACCAGCCGGTTCAATATAGCCGACACCTCAGAATGAATTGCGCGCTGAAAACTTCCGTCAACATCACTGAACTGCACACGAATACGACAAGGGGCAACATGCGACCTGATTGCATGTACACCGATCCTGATGAGTCTGTGTACCTCTGCTAGCACCAGTTTTGTCTGCTGGTTGGCCCCTGAGTAGATCTCTCGGTATGTCTGCTGGAAGGCTGTCTCGTCTCCTTGCTCCGCAACGACCGACAGGTCAATTGGAGCGCGCCCGGCTTCCGCACTCCCTGGCTCTTGTGTGGCGACGCGACGATCACCTGGATTGACGCAGGTATCTAACACCGCGGCCGTGGTGGCTGACCCGAGCTGTGTCTCGCCCGGAAGTGGCACAGGCATGGCAGTTGGCTCGCGCTTGGGAATGAGAGGGGCATCCGTGGAAATCGCAGGGCAGGAAGCGTCGATCCCGTTGGAGAGGGTGGGAGGTGACGGTGCCGGCTCAATGGACGCAATCGGGGGCGGGGAGGGCGAGTCTTCCGGCGGCGAAGCGCCGTTCGACTCTCTTGCGGTATCCTGAATCGACCAGAAGAAGTGGCATCGCTTCGATTTGTTCATGGCACATTTTCAATGTTTGCTACCTGTGTCTGAGTAGCCTGTGGTGTCTCCGCAACACCGGTGCCGCCTGTGCTGGCCTTGCTGCTCTCTGCTCCTTTTGCCGCTTGCACGTAGGACACGAGTGCCTTCTGCTCCAAAGCCAGCAAGTAAGTGCTTGATGAACGCTTGGATGCGGGGAACGGTGCACCGCTGTCCATTCCACGCACCACGAGACGAAGATCGGCGACGAAAGGCAATGATATCTGGACACAAGCGGGCAGATACGACTGGCGGATATGACTCTGGATTGTGAGCTGTGTCCCTCCCAGTACTCACGTGTTTGAGTTTCTCGATGGGCATTTGTACGGGTGCAGGCCTGAGGAAGGAATGCGATGCCTTGGCAGTCGGATGATTGAGGTCGAAGAGCATGACGTCACACAGCTGCTGCTGAAGCTGCTGTGAAGCTTCATCGCCTTTCTTGCATTGGTGCCGTATCGCGAGAGTCAGGTAGGTCGGACTCAGCAACAGGATGGGAGAGCCGAACATGCCAAAAGAAGAAGCCGACGGGTGTTTCGGGAGCAGAGGGACGCGGAAATCGATGACTTGCATTGGTGCAGCCGAGAGGGTCGGGAGGCTGGACGACTCAGACGGCTCCCACCCATAGATCTGCAGCTCTGTCAGCACCATAGTGCTACTGCTGTTGCTGCTGGTTGACGCATCGGAGACACCATTCTGCTGATGCTGGCTCTTATTGTCGCTGTGGTTGGCAGATGTGGCTGTGAGCAGGACGGCGACGAATGGAAAAGAGGACGGATGGCCATCGGTTGCTCGGAGAGGCGAGATGGCGTTGCACTCGAGTGCCGATACCTCGATCCTTCGCCCCTGCTGTTGTGGTGGATCGGCATCGATGCCCGAGAAGCCCGCAGGCCGACACTCGACGCACTGGCACATCACGAGACCATCCTCAACTTTCTGTGCAGAAGGGAGACGAAGAAGCTCATTTGGCAATCCTTTAGCGCCCTGATGAGTTCCGGCATACCTGTGTCCACCAGACAGCGATGTACGCACCGCGTGCTTCAGTCGCCAGTGCTCCGAGAATGCCTTGTCCGTGAGGTGCGAAGCAGACGAGCGCCACCTCCACTGTGCCCGTTCCTTCTCCGTGAGGCTCGCTGAGGATTTGTTCGCGATAGGACTCGAGAGGGACCGACGTGCTGCAGCGACTCTTTAGTTCATCAGATATCTGACATATGCCACGGAAGCAAGAGGGGGAGATGGCAGCATCCGCGTACGTACGAAGGGCTCTCCAGGTGTCGCGACCTTTTGTACCGTTGGTAGGTCTTCCTGACTGAGGTTGTTCTGTTGTTTGAGTTGGCTGATGTTCCACACGTAGATGGCTGATGGATGTGCGGTAGAGAACAAGCTCGTATCCGTCGGATGCCAGCAAACCTGAGAGAAGGACATGCAGGTGGGTGGATGTCGGGGTTTCTTAACATCATGACGGAGTACCTTTTTCGGCATGTCGGATCCGAACTGCACTCCTGCGAACTTCACCGCCTCTTGTACCACGCGACCCTCGGACTGGACAAACACAAAGACAACGCAAGCATAGATATTGTCCACTTTGCGACACTCCCGTGCAGGTTTCCTTGCCACTCTGGCGAGTTTGGTGCAGAGCAGCCTGCCCATGTTGTCGCAGGACAGCAAGAAGTACACCGAACCATGACTCGAAAGTGACATAGAAACCACCCTCCTGCCCTTGTTGTCCCTTCCTGCAGTCTCGTCGCCTGACGCCGGCGTGTGAAAGTCCAATGTATACGTCACACTCGACTTGTCTCGCTCGTTGGTTGTGGGGGAGGCAGTGGCTCCTTGACTTGTGCCGGTCACGTGGTGGCCTTCAGTGCTCTTGTCGCGCGAAGATAAGTGTACAACGTGAATCAGTGCCCCCGAGGAATAACAGACACAACTGAAGCCAGCCAGTGTCATAAGTAAGATGCAGAACATACATCAGCAACAGGCAGCTCACGTAGGATATGCGTGAGGTCATTCCTTTTCCCTGCTGACCTTTCATTCGCATCCATGGTCTCCCACAGGCCTCGTTCGTCGGTCGTGATCTCTTCCTCACTTGATGATGTGAGCACCCGGCTGGCCATGCAGGTCTCTTCCTCCCCCTCAACGCGGACATGCGATGAAGCTGCAGAGATGTACGCCACACCAACCCGCTTCTCGCATCCCAACGGCTCCCGCAAGCCATCACATTCCGCTCCTTGCTGAGCATCTGCACCTGCCGTGCCACTGGCAGCCGCATTTTCCTCCTCGGCTTCCATCGCCGTCTTGAGATCGTCTGGGTGGTCGTTCGGAGACAGATCCGACGCAACCAGGCCGAAAAGTGGCGTGTGCCGCATCTAGGTTCCAGACTGAGGTTCCCTTCCTGTGCCCAGACCGAGTTACACGGGCGAGATCTACGAGTCATGAGTTTGCGATGGTTGTGGACCCAAGCTTGAGTGTCCATGAGACCTCCGTCGTCACTGAATGCTTCTTTCGGGTTCGTCACATGTTCGTCACATTCCTAATCGTTACCCCGAGCTCCTGCTGATACTCCAACTGGCCTCGCGGTTTGGGTTCAGGTCGGAGTCAAACGCTTTCGTACGTGGGTGGCCCTGCGACTGCTACGCTCTTGCCCTTTTTGCACCGTTTTTCATTTCTCGCCTCACATGTGGGTTCGCGCTGAGGGTTTACGTATTACTGGAAATGCGGAGACATGTATTCATCTACCATGTGTTCTACTCTGTCAGCTCGCGTACGTTGGATGTGTGGAGGCTTGCGAGGAGAGGCTGCAGGAGCTACGTGCGGAGCTGGATCGGCTACATAGAAAAGATCTGACAGTCTTCTGTTGACATGAGTCCGATCATGGGGAGGGTGCATCGCATCCATTCATTCACTCGCATCTCATGCATGAAACATGAGGACGAAAAGTCGTGAGCGAACGCACACTCGCACTACAGAGATCTTGCTTCGGAAACAGCATGAACACTGTCTTCAGGCTTGTCATGTGGAGAAAATAGATAGAAGCACAGGCAGACAGAGAGGGCTTGCCCACACTGACGGAACGTCTGGTTGTCTGGCGTCGCACCCCAGGAAACTTATGTCTCCCTCTCCCTATGTGTACACGCAATTCGAAAAACGTTCACACACTCTATACATAGAGCCCAGACGCAGATCTATCACTACACTGATTACACTGATTCCTACAAGAAATTCTTTCTTTCCCGTACATGAACGACTGACGACTTACCACTGAAAACCTCACTCGTCTTGGTTTGTTAGGCCCTCTTGCGGGTCTTCCTCGGTCGTGCCGCTCGTATCTCTGTCCACCTGCGCGCCGCTGCTGGCGTTGTCGGCCTGAGCCACACTGCTGACGCCAGTGATGGTGGATTGGGAGCGCTCAAGAGAGATGCCATGGGGAACCTTGACGGCGTCCGGAACTGCCTCATCTTCCTCGATAACAGTGGTAGCCTCTTCCGTCTGCTGCCTGTCGGCCTTGTTCGTGCTCTGGTTGTCAAAGTTGACGCCGTAGAGCTCCTTCTGGGCGTCCGTGAGGATGGAGCAGGTGTTGGGCACCAGAAATAGAAAGAGGAGGGGCACCAGAGTGCAACCCGCCTTGATCAGGATCAGGCTCGGGAGCATCTCGAGATAATTGTCCTCCGTCACACCGTACAACGACTGCACGGCCGCGCCGAGGTGACGCTGGCAGCTGGTCGCCAGGTTGCTCCACGACATCAAACCTGACACAAGACGGGACGCGGGGTCATTCGATGCCTATCCATCTTGTGTCTTGTACCTGCAAAGAGCAGGGCCTCCAGTCCTGGCGGGCACAGCTGCGCGGCCATGACGAGGAAGGGCATAGTGTAGATACGATCGAAAAAGGTGGCAAAACTGTCGGCCCCATAGAGGAAGAGCCAGTCCGGGATGCCCCACGACACATTCAGACGACTCGCCTACGTATACGGATGAACGCATGCAGAGGACGTCAGGAGGAGCATGATTTTGCATGGTCCTGACCTGTATGTAGTCGGGGAGGATGAGAGTGGTGAGAATGAGGGTGGTGCCGAACCAGATCTTGCGGAACGTCACCTTTTGCAGGAACCGCCCGTACACAACCGTGCCCAACATGAGGAACAAAAAGTTCACCGCACTGGCGTACTGGATCTGACCCTCGGAAAACCTTCGCACACACAAGACGGAAGATGCGTAAAAGTAAACAGCTTCTTCGGCGCTCCTCATGCACCCATCTCTCCATCCGTTTGTCCGTCCGTCCGTCGATCTACGTCTGCGGACTTACCCGATTTCTTTCCTCATCCACTGCAGAGGTGTGCTGAGTGAGAACGAGGCGACTTGTGCAAAGAAGAACCATATCATCGGTCGCCAGCAAATTGGCTTGCTGACGGTCTTGAGCACTGCCCAGAGGTTGCTGGAGAGCGTCTTGAGCACGTTCCAGGTAAATGGAGTGGGCGTGGGTCTCTCCCGGTAGGCGATCATCAGCACGAAGGCGAGGGACTGGGCCCCTGCCACGATCGCCACGAAAACCCGATGCATCTCGGCATCAAACAGGACGCCTGCGTGGACCACCACGAACCAGACAGGCGACAGGTGCATTTACTGTGTTATCCAAATCGGTGGTGCGAGTGGTTGGGTACCTGAGACGAACATCGAGAGGATCGCACCAAGAGCCAGGCAGAACCAAGACATCGACTGCACATCTCCACTGCCACTGTCGTTGTACTTGGCCTCGCGAACCACCAGTGCATCAGCCAACACATCCATAAACGCACCGCCTGCACACGGAAAACTCACACACGGGCTGGTTGTAGGCACGCTTCATCTTGGGCTGTCGAGAACTAACTTACCGACTTCCATGGCGAGGAGGGCGCTGACCATGTTTGTCCAGTCGGGTGTGATGCTCTCGGACGCCACACACGCAAGACACGTCATGGCAAGGGCGGCACTCATAAGGTAGTACGGTTTTATGTGGCGACGGCAGATCGGGAATGTGTCCGCCAGCAGACCTGCACCGCACCACGACAAGCCCATCGAGTCGTCCCGTCGTTGCGTCGCGCACTGAAACTTACCGTAGCAAGGTTTCAGCACCCAGGGGAGCATCATGGTGCCAATGGCCGCCTGCACGGCAGCAGGGTTGGCACCCTGACGCATCGCTGTCCAAACCATCGCCTGCTCAGAAGGGCCGCGAAAGCCTTGAAAGGGACGACCAGCAACACAGTACATCTTCAGCCACATCATCGCACTCATTCTGCCTCGTTTACGCACCTTGCGAGACGTATGTCCAGATGTTGAGCATGAGGAAGACGCTGCCATACTGCGTCTGCGAGCCGAAGAGCATGGACACGATGCGATTCAACGGGTCACGACGACCAGTCCTCGTTGCCTTAGCACAAGGCACCCCTTCCCCCTGAGCACATACACAATGCATCATCTTGAGCACTGACCAAAATTTGCAACCACAAGCCGAATGCCGTGGTGCCTGCCCCTTACCTTTTCCAGTCCATCATCAGTGCCTCCCCCGATCTGCTGCCCACCGCTCTCCCCTTCAACCTCCACGTGAGCCAGCACGACTCCGTCCTCCTCCAAGTCCACCGTGTGCGTCATCGTGCGCCGGTGCCCGTGACTCGCCGTCAACACCGCCATACCGACGACAGGCACGGCACCAGGCGACGCTTGGAGATAGCTGATACTGTGAGCCTCCGTTGGCGGCGAGAGATGGGGATCCACACCGATACGCAGAGAAGGAGAGGCAGTGGGGTCGGGGGGAGGCGAGGAGTGAGAAGGGAGAGCGGAGGTCGACGTCATGGTGTCTGACGAAACCAGAGGAAGAGGGGTGATAGAGGAATCGAAGAGGGGGGAGAGTGAGAGACCGGTCGTCACCCAATAGCAACTGAGCTTCTGTCTGGTTGCGCTTTTTTTCCCCTCTCCTCGCCTTCTCAAACGCGAGCTAGCCAAGGCGTGTTATTCCGTGCGGCTCTCTAACCCAAAACAAGTCGGGAACACTATACCACTTGCTAACGCGTTCGAAGGAGAAGGTTGTCGGTTCAGCGTGGAAGGAGCTGATGCAGTATTCGCTGCACCCATGTTGTCCCCCTCCCCGCAGACGGATGCGGCGAGATGAACAATATCGTGATTCGCGATCAATCGTGATGATTCGATTCATCAATCCAGCTGTGTTCTCTCCCTTATCGAATCCTTCATGTCTCGCGATGTTTTCGTTCGGGCGGTCTCAAACACAACTAGAAAAAGTCAGCTATCAACACCTCCTTTACATTCCCTCCCGTATTTAAGGAGCGCGGGGGAAAGCGCCCGGCCCAACTTCTATCCCGCTGGGCGGCGGCTGGCTGGTTGTGCTATTGTGTGTGTGTGTCAGGGGGGGGATATGTGTGTGGTGTGTGTGTCAGTTTCATGTTCGTGGGATGTGCGCGCGGTGTTCAGGTTTCTGTCTACCCCCTTGTCCGATGGTGAGACGGGCGAAATGAATGTCCGGCACAGCAACAAAATCCATCGCCAGTACCTGGCTGCATGCATCGTGTATCGACAAACTCTCCGAGAGTGTCCATAGCTTAACGAGAGTGCGGCAACGTAAATATCCGCCACTTTCATCCCTCTTCACTCTTTTCGGACATTGGAGGCGGCAGGGAATGTCTTCTGTCCATATATACTGAGAAGGGTCACTCGACCAAGAGGAAGAGCATGTGAGGTTTCAGTTGAGAACGTACGCTTCCGCGAGTACCTGAGAATTGCGAGCGATCTCTTGAATTCAGTTGCTGATAGAGAAATGGTCTCCGGCTTGCTTGGGGATGGAGAATCCTCGCTTGCGAAGGTGATGAGCATCCACCAACGAAAGAACAGAGTCTTATGTGTCATTTCGTCCCTCATTACCTTCGAGTGTTCCTCCCCTTGTCCGATGGTGAGACGGGAAGCTTCTGCACAGATACCGCTGACGGGGCCCAGTGGTGCAAGGGAGGACAAATGAGACCGATACATCGCCTCAGTCTCGTATCAGGTTCGCGAAACTATGTGTGGTAACGAGGGGACTAGAGACGCGCTTTCTGTTTCTGCCTGGCACACGTCACGCACCTCAACTACGATGAGATCTTTCATGTCGTTGGAGTTCAAATGGGACTTCCCCAACACCAGGCGCGTCTGAATGAAAATGTAGTAAAGGAAGGGAGAAAGACACTTCAAGGGGCGGGTTTGCCTACTTTATGGTCGAGCTGGTCGATACTTTTGACCGATTCGACACTCCCAAGGGGGACGGCACACAGAGACACTGGTGGGTCACGTAAGTCAATACTCAGTTTCTTGGGAAAGGAAGGCAATCCTTGTGCGTGAAGGCTTGCCTCCGCATCTTGTTTTTTCGTACCGTGACATTCCGATCAAGTGAGACAACAGCACCTCGGGTGACACCCATGCCTGAATCGCAAAGAGAATAGCAGAGAGGGTGTCAACAGGAATGATGGGGGGAAAGGATGCGTCGCTTGTGGCTGTGGGCGTGAGCTTTTCGGGAAATGCCTGAATCGAACCGCAACGACGGACTCAGTACGCAGATAGCGACCCTTGCATATCGACTGCGGACCTGTATCGACTGCGGTACACTCCAAACCAGTTAAGGCGGCTGTCACGAACTACCAACCAATAAGAGTAAGCGATGCCCATCGCATGTCTTGTGCCTCACCTCCTTCGCCTGCAAAGACACCAATTCACGCGAATATGTGCCAAAAATAGTGCATATAGTTGTCTGACTTTGTTGCATACCCTTTCTTTCAGGTGGTTCTTCTTGTCCTTCTTCCACACGGCTGCTTCCGAATCTCTATTGATTCCCTCCATCATCTTCTCTGCCGTGTTCTCCTTCAAGTAGCAGCCCGGAGGCACCACACATCCATGATAATCGGGCGGGAGCTTGGATAAAAAAAAAACGACACACACACATATACACACAACACCAACGCACCGACGCGGTTCTATCCTGCGGCATCATCGCGTGCTTTGCGTACTTACCTCTTTCCTCAAAGCACGATCACAGTCCTTTGATGAAGGACTTGTAGCCTCGAACTGAGGAAGAGATGTACACGAGGATGGAGACACGTGAAGCGGGAAACCTCAGTGCTTGCGTACGCATGTGAACTGCTGTGACGCCTCATATAAAGAAGCTTCAGCAACGCAACAGCAGGCGGCGAAGCTGAAAAAACTTGGCCATGGACTGAATCCAACCTTCTCGCAGCAATGATCGCTGTTGTCGTTGCTGCTGGCGAACTCTTCCGAGAGTGCGTCGCTCGAAGAGAACACTGGACGCCTGCCGTGTGTTTGAGTCGCCACCATGCTACTGGCCCACGTGTCGTGTTTCGACATTTGAGAAAGAAATCGTCACACGAGAGTTTCTGTGGGCACCGTTACCACTTGAAACGCTTTTTTTCCCTCAAGCGGACTTCAGTGCCATGCGCATTCTGGTCGCTCTGCTGATGGAGAGGATTCGCAACCTTCAAGTGGACTTTTTTCCAGTCAAAACTGGACCTTGACCCTCCTTCCGAACTCAGAGTGGGTTAATCACCAATCAAACGCGCCATTTGAAGTCCACTGCTTCCCTACTCCATCCGTGACTCATTTCGGATGTATCACCCATGGACCTCCCATTTCGTCCCGACGCTATTGGGTACCTGGGACGACATCGATAAACCCACACTCAAGTGGGTGCAAGGGAGGAGCTTTTACCCACAACATTTGATAAGAATGGAAACACTGTGCACTTGATGAAATTCTTGTGCTAATGCGCTGCTGTTAACCACGTGCTGATCCGTTATGTCTCATTGGGGATTGAACACCTGCTTAGGACAGGTAACTAACGGCTTAGAATCGCTGACGGTAGGCTGTTTGGAGTTTTCGCCACCTGAAACACAAGCGCGCTATACAAACGTCCTCAAGTATGGCGGGACTGTCGCCCCCGGCATGCGAAGGCACAGAGGCGTTCGGAGCAGATGCAGAATCGGCTGCACCAATGCTGTCCCCCCCCGCTCGTCGCCCTCCCCGCACAGACGGCACGGCGAGATGAATAGCATCGTGATACCGTGACAATTCGATTCATCCTGCATCCCCGGGGAAGCACCGCCACAAAGCGGGGCGTACACGCGCGAAACAAAATACAGACAACAAAAATTCGCTCGAGTGATAAGGAAAAGGAATTTGCGTGGCCTCTCTTGTCTTCCTGGTCCTCTCCTCTTGGCTTCTCCGCATACATAGAACCCCGTTCGCACCAAGCAAGCAAAAGTATGTCGTCCCACACCTCGTCACGTCCAGTCACGTCAGCTACTCGACACGTCAGTCAGACCTACTACATATGTCGATCTATATATTTGTCTACCAAGAGAATCGAAAAAGGGGTAGAACGCAGGAAATTTCCCTCATTGCGTACCCAAACGACCCACCATCACACTGACACATCCTTCAATTCCCTCACCATATGAAATGCACCATACACAGATAGTAATTGAGCGACTAATCTCATCGACAACACGTCGTGCCCGGCAGATGGTATTTCTTGAGCAGAAGAGCGTCCCGAATTGCTTGCAGCTTAGTACGGCTGGTGCCCCAATAAAACCACTTTTGGCACGTTTTTTGTTGCGCTCGTGCTTCATGATGACGCCCCTTTTGGCCGAATCGAGTGAGCACCCTGTGTTCTTGAGAGACGTTGGCACGTCGCCGTTGTCGATCACCTCTAGTGCAGCGTCGATGCTCGTCATCATCCTTCGATTCCGTTTCGTGAGCTGGGGCCCTGCCTCCTCGTTGTCATGCATGCGAGCCGACGGCGCACACTCGTCGCACCCGCCCTCGACTGCGTGCTGCCGTTTGCGCAGGAGAGCCTCCATGCTGGTGGGGTAGGAGACCGTGCCTGCAGTGAACGGAATCTCACATCGCGGTCGACCGTGCTCCTTGTGGGACATGCGCTGCACGCAAACAGTATGATACGACTGATGGGTCGGATTTCCACGAATGCACGTGATGTGTTTCTGTTCGTACCCATGTCGACGGAGGCACGTGGGAAACTCCAATCCCATGGGGAGGGGTCTCTTGCCGTCCATCACGTATTGCGGCCTCGACCACCTGGATGAAACTGTCGATGCGCTCGACCTTCAGCCTCTGAGTCTCCCGTTTCTGGAACTCCTCCCACCCTGACCCCCCGTCATTGCACTTTGGACACCCATGGCCCTGCAGGTGCCGCAACCTGCACTCCAGGGCCGCCAGCAGCGCCCCCTTCTCTCCGCCGTGCAGGTGATTGCCGAAATGACGCTGACACGTCGAATGCCGTGAGAACCATCCTCCCGTCTGACCGTGGGAGTTGGAACGGGCAACCCCCCTGGAAAGGGTGATGCTGTCGACGTTGACCGACTCGTTCTTGGTCTCCTCGATGGCCTTCTCGACGTGGCCGATCTCTCGCTTCTGGTACTCCTCGTACCGTTGTTTCGCTGTCTTGCGGATGGCGGTCCTCAGCAGGCTGATGCGAGTGCGCGGAGCGCGGTGGGGGTCCTGGGGAGCGCGAAGATGGCGATACTTGTCGCGGGGAGGGATCTCGAGCAGGTCGGCCTCGGAGTAGCCAGGAGGGAAGTCGGAGAGGGGAACCTTGCGTGACGTGTCAGACACAACCTGAATCGGAGAGCAGAAGCAACTAAAGGCAATTCGTCTGAAGGGTCGTCTCTTACCTTGCCGGTGTCAGGGTGGACGCAGACGGGGTACACGCCCTGACATCGGATGTAAAGCCAGAGTCTCTTGAGATCCTGGGTCAACTCGGCCCTGTCGACGCCGGGAGGCACAATCAACCAACTCATGACCTGCACACACCACACAGACACAACAGGGGATAGATCCCTCAGACATTTCGTGTTGTGCCTCAGCTACGTACCTTGTCGATCGATGGAAGATCGTGTTGTGGGTCGTCCTTGCTGTACTGGTCCCACACCATGCCGAGGAAGGTCTTGACGCTCATTGGCAGGCCGGGGAGGCGATAGCGGTTCGAGAATGAGCAGAACACGTCGTAGAATTGGAGGGCCTCTGCGAGAACAAAGAACCTCAGCCGATGGTTGGATGCACCTGCATGTGCTGCATTATTCCCTGTCTGTATACCTACCTTTCGGACTTTTGAACGACCATGTTTTCTTGACTCGCGAGTAATACCGCTTCCACTTGTTGCGCTCGTGGTTGCCCTCTCCAGGGTTGCGTCCAAACTGCGTCCATTGCTGCAGAGGAAAGAGAGAACGACCATTTGGGCCAGGGCGATGAATTTGGTGAAAGTATGCTCAGGCTCACCGTCAGCGGGTGTGTGTTGACGTCTCCGAGCAGACCGGCACCTTGGTCACAATCGGCGGCCTCGGCAGCATAGCCGAGCTTCCTCAGTTCGTGACACGTCTTGACGACGCCTCCGTTGTTGGTAGTCTGTCTGATGACGGACACGTCCGGCCGATCTCTCATCTCCTGCACACAAGACAAGCCAGTCGAGAGCATCCATTCGCTGGGAGTGGCGAGTCGAGTCGTTAGGTTACATTGGAGAACGAGTCGAAGAGTTCGGCGAATTGCCGTTTTCGTTGGTAGGGGTTCGCAGAGTGCCACTTTGTCATGCTCTCGGGAACAACGATGACCTGAATGGACCCACGGCCACGGACAGACATCTCGAAAGCAGTATACGATTTCTTGATGTTGTCTTTTCTCACAAGTCGCTTGTGGTCGGCTGTGTGTGGGCCCATCATCTGGTAGAGGAAGTCCTGAAACCGCCACGGTGCCGGCTCGGGCCAGTTCTTGTCGCCCTTCATGAGACTCCGTCCCCATATGTGGGGCACACATCTGCCCTTGATCATCGAGTGCTTCCACAAATAGTGGAAAATCTGCACAGGTAGGCAACACAGAAAGGGGAGAGGGCGTGCAGGAGAGAGGATGGACCCTGTGTGCGTCTGGAATGCCCACCTCAATGACGATGAACAGGAGCTGGCCCGGCTGAGCACCCAACGCTTTCGACACCGACGACGGACCTCCCGTCGACCTTCCAGACTCTAGTCGCTCTTTCTCCTCCTTGCCCGCGTCACTGGCACTCCGCCTCACCTCCCGCAGGCCCGTTGACGTGATCCACGCGTTGCCCCTGCCCTTGGTGCGGGGCCTGAATGTGCGCAGGGCGGGGTGAGGGAGCGGGATCTTGTTGTTGGGAGAAGTGAAGACGGGCGCTGGTGCGGTTGTGGGGGACGCAGACGATGGGTGTGGGGGAGGGGACGGCGCGTCTTCCTCATGGATGTATTCGTCTGGGTCCACGACGCAGTTCTCATACAGCTCGCCGAGCTCCTCCTCTTCCTCCTCGGGCTGGACGGTGGTATCGTCATCCGTGATCCCCTCGAAGGTGGCGGCGAAAACCTCAGGTGTCATCAGAAGCTTGTCGTCACCAATAACCTGACAAACATCGCAAAACACAAGGTAGCAAGAGGAAACAGGGAAGTGTGTTCACGTGAGAATCATCCTTCCTAAGCAAGAAGTACCGGTTCGTCCTTCCATCCGTCCTCAGACCCCTCCCCTTCACTCTCCGTGTCCTCTGGCGATGGTGGTGCGGCAGCCGCAGCAGCGGCAGACGACCCAGGTTGTGTTTTGCGCCTCATGCTCTGCAAGTGAGAATGAGGTCAGTGCGCATGGGAGATGGGTTTAAATAGCTCCTCACTCACCCTCTTGAGTGGCTGATTGCGGTTGTCCCGGCCACGCTTGGCCTCCTTTTTAGACTGCTGGGCCAACTGCGGGAAACCGCGATCGATGGCTTCCTGGTGTTGTCGGAAGGGGAAGGCGCAGCAGCAGCGGCGGCGGCGGCCGAAGAGCTCGGTTCATTGTTGGGCCTCTACGAGAAAGAAACGGGTCGGCGTTGAGGTGACGCCTTTATATCTCCTCACCTTTTCATAACTCGCGTAGGCATCCTCCAAGCTCTGTCCTGACTCCATCACGTATTGCTCCTGCAGCAGCCGGGCGTAACGGAGAGACGCGTCCTCTGAGAGGCCCGCGTGCTCTGACTCGATGGTCAGGTCGAAGGGGTCAGAAGATGAGCCTGACATCGGAGGGGAAGAGGCGAAGGGGAAACGGAGACGGAGGCCGAAAGAGATCTGCAATACAAACATACAGACACAGACAGAAAATAGCGGGGAATCTGAGAGATCTTTTGCCGGCGGCAGTGTTGTTCTTACGAACGGGATGAGGAATGATGACAGGAAGCGCGGAAGTTCTGAAACCGCTGCTGCCGTCGGTGCTGAGTATGCCGTGAAACAGAAAAGGTTGCAGAGAGAGAGTACACAGATAAGGTTTCCTTCTCCATACTAGCGAGACGCACATCGAAGTTGGGTCGCCCGTGCCCGGCGGAGAAGGGATCTATGTTAGTGGAGAAGACGCACATGATGACCTGCCTGTCTGCCTGCGTGCTCCATGCCTTGTCTATATGTTGTTTCTTTCAGGAGAGCGTGGGGGAACTCTTTGACTAGTAAGTGCACACGGACCTGTCTGTCTGTCTGTCTGCCTGTGAGCCTGCGTATTTGTGTGTGTGTCTGTCTGTCTGTCTGTCCGTGGTCAGCAAATATTACGTGGGCTTGGGGCACTGATCAACATCGAGACTCTATTTGTGCTTCAATGCATTTTTGCATGAACGTGTGGTATGGGAAAATTGAGGAAGAATCTTGCTGGCATAGAGTCGATGCACCCTCCTCACCGTAAAAATACAGTACGACTTACGATGAGGTGAACCGTAAGAATACAGTACAGCTCATCTCATACACTCATACACTCTCACAAGACACCCACCCATCTCATAAAAGCTGAAGAACCCAGCTCAACAGCCCGTAACATGTAGCAAATGTCTGTTAGTTTCATCGACAGCGACGGCAGAAAAATTCGGCTGAAACTTAAACTTGGCAGAAAGACCAAGGATTCAATCCGCCTCTGCCTACCCCGCACACTATTTACGTTCGCGAGACGTTAGAGTAGGCTATCGGAGGTTAATCATGCGGCAGCTTGGCACTTCGCGTCTCGCTTGCCGCGCTCCGGGTGGCGCAAGGCTGGAGTTGCTAGTAGTTGTGCACCTTGTACACGCTTTGTCTGTAGCTGCCGTTCGAGAACTACAGACAAAGCCTGTGGCGATTCCACGGGAGAAACAGGTCTTCGCCGTATGTGCTATTGACGAAGACGGACACCTTATGGTACGTGGGTGCACAGGCGACGACTGTTTTTGCCCCTCACTCCTGACGTGTGTGGATCCCCACATACTCGGTCGCGCAGAACTCAATGCCGATCACTCACAGCCCCTTCCAGCTCATTTCTCCTGAGGGCAGGGGACACGCCATCACCATCATTCTGCATCCTGAACCCGAGGAGGTACGCAGACACAAATGCGCAGAGGGAGACTGCGCGCCACGCCCCTTCCCTCAGACCGACATCCTTGACGACCATTACCTGACCAAGCCGCCCGTGAAGAACGTGAGGTTCACCATCCGAGCCGCGAATGGGACAGAAGTCTTCAACCACACAGACACGGAAATGCCTTTTTCCTTGTTCGGTGCATCGAGCGCCGCTACTGCTCTGGGACGCCACTTTATGGGTGCCTTCGTTACGGAAGATACTTCAGCGCAAAGCAATCACAGCTTCTTGTTTGAGGAACGGCTGACACTCGAGGCCACAGTAGTCAGAGAAGGCCCACCATGGGAGACTAACTTCACGGTCGAGCTAGAAGTAGTCAAAAATGGTAGGCCACAAAGAAGCGGCCCCACGTGTCGACGGAAAAAGCGTCTGCCCTTGCTCCGTGCGAGCGGCAGGAAGCACGTGGACAGCATCGGACTTGCCGCTGGACGGAGAATGGCTCGGCTCGTTGAAAGCTGCTGCGATTGCAGCCAACATGTCTGTCGGCACAGCGATCTGCCAGGCTCCGGTATGGCTATTCAATGTGCGCAAGCGCGAATACACAGGTATGTGTGTGCGTATTCAGGTTGGTGCCAAGGGCAGGCCACGTTGCACATATGGGGGCGAGCCCGCGTTCCAGAAAATTGTCCGACAGGACTTCTCATTCATCGCGCCGGAACGAGAATGCAAATGGTCATTCACGAGGACCGATCCTGTCACCTTTGACTTCACACCCTGTGAGGCGTCAGGCGCGTCGATGGATGCGCACAAGACATGGAGATGAGTAATGAATCTGTCGATCTGTTTGCAGGCGACCTTGTAATGGATCTAGCTGTGGAAAACAGGCAAAAGGCGCGCTTCCATGCACTTGTCTGGGTAGGTGTGTGAAGACAGATGTGTGTGACCTGCATCTGCCACTGGACTGTCTCTTGTATCCTCATGTACCTCAGGAGGTAGGCGGCGCCTGGTTGTGTGAAGCTTCCACTTACCCTGTTGTGTGCAATTATCCCTCCATTCAATGTCTCATTGTGTGAAACCGCGCTCAGAAAGACGTACAGTATGGAAACCTTGCAGAGTGGCTTCCCCAAATGTCGCCAGACGACATCAGGGACCAATTGATCACGCACATCGAGAAGATGGTGGCCCGCTACAGAGCTCCGAAGTACGCGGATACAGTGTTTGTGTGGGATGTCGCGAATGAAGGTACGGCACAGAGAAGAGATGCTTCGCAATTTCGTTAGCTGTGAATGGCCGTCTGCCTGATTTGTCGGTCTGATGTATGAGCTACAGCACTGGACGACGATCAAGATCCTGCCGAGCTAGCGGCTGGTAAAGCCACTGTTCTGCCAGAAATGTCCATTGGTGTGGTGTCCCATGTTTTTCAGGAGGGTGGAGGATGCGGCCCTGCACCTGGTAAACATGCATCGAACTCGCTTCTTTGTGCCATATTCATGATGTCCATGAAGGTCGGCCATCGGGGACTATGTGGAGGTGGCGTTCCAGACCGCCTACAGGGCGCTGCAGGAGGCCGACAAGAAACACTCCAATACAACATTTCATCCCATAAAACTCTTCTACAACGGTGCTCTTTCATCTGTCACCTTCTCTACAGCTGGTGCATTACATTCGTCTGCTGCGCAAACTCTCAGATTATGCTATCGAGAGCACAGCCGAGGATGGCGACTTCGCAAGGGGCAAGGCTGACGCCCTCTACAACATGATGAAGTCCTTTAAGCAAAGAGGCATTCATGTGCATGGAGTTGGGTTTCAATCGCACCTCAATCGGCGGGCGGCGTTCCACTTTGACCAGTCATGTGAAGGGGCGACCGAGGAGAGACTGGAAAGAATAGCTGACGGCATGAGAGAAAACATGCGACGCCTCGGTGCGTTGGGACTGCAAGTCCAGGTGAGTGAGTAGACACTGGACGCGTCTAGTAATGTCTTGCTGCCGTCAGTTCACCGAGATAGATGTCGCCAGTGGGTACTGGGGGACAGAGGGTAAGTATGTAAATTGTGACGCGGAGGGGTCAGGCTGGGACGAGGTCAAGGAGTATCAGCAGGTATATGTGCCTGTGTCAAAGGAAAAGGTGCACCCCTTGAGACGTATGAGTGTTGACGTAGGCGCGAGTTTACAAGCATCTAATGCGCGTCTGTTTGGGCGAACCGAACTGTTCTGGATTCATGACATGGGGATTTGTGGACAAAACCTCATGGCTCAACAGGGATCTGTTCGCACCGGCCTGTGAGAAGAGACGGGAGAAATATACAGCGTGGGAACGGTGATGGCGTGTGCTGTCTGTCTGCACGTGTGTCTCAGGGCCCCTGCTATTCGACGAGGACTACAGACCCAAGGAAAGTTATTTCGCTCTCCGAGACGAGCTCGAGAGCTACACCGTCAACAGCACACTCGACGCGACATTAGTGCCCAATCCCCGCTTTGTACGCGACACTCGTACCGGAGGGTGGCGCCTTGTGACGTACGACGTTGCGTTGTGAAGATGTTCCATTCATCGAGCCGCCAAGAATTGCTTCATTGCTCTCCTGATTCACGGATACGTGTACGTCCATAGACGATGCATACAGACAGGGACATGGTTGTACAACTATTAATGAGACCACTCCAATAATGCATCTCATTTTTCGATTGCATGCACCTCATTTTTGGATTGCCTTGCCACCTCATTCCAGGAGACTTCAAGGGGGTGGTGGCAAGACAACAGTGTCCAACGAGGCCCAGCCTTCTGAAGGACCGAATGGAAGCCTGACAGTCATGTTTGGCGCGGCGCGCCTCGCCTCGCCTTGGCATTAGTCGGTGTCTCCACTGAACTGATGTGGCGACTTCAATGTGTGCCAATGTGCAAAAGAAAAGATCCTCTCCAGATACAGATAAGGAGAAATAAGTACGTGACGGATAACAAAATAACTCAGATTCGCAGTTCAAGGTACATGGACTCAGTTAGGAGCCATCACGAGTCCATGTACCCCCTTCACGTGTCCATGTGCTCATCTATTGCTTGTGGATGGGTGTGCGCAATCCAACACTACGCATCCCTGGAGCCCACTCCGGACGCCAATGCATTCAGTAGACAATCAGCATGTCTGAACATGGGTGTTCATTCTGCTGATGCTATGCAACATCGGCCCGAAGCCATCGCGACAGCCCTGGTGGAACATCGGTCACACTCATCCTTCTGTGACCGCCACTCTCAGTTTCTTGCGCACGATATCGATGGGCTGGTTTGTCTCTTCTGACAGCTCAAGGTGACTTATCGGCACCACAGTCCATCCATGCTCCCGAAGCAACCTACGGTCAGCCGAAGTCCGTTGCCGGATGTGTGATAAATGGATAAAAGGGTCGAACATCACTCACCATTGCTTCAGAAGAGCGTTTCCGCCGTACTGGAGTTGGGCGTCAGCTGCCCGAGGCATTGTGAGGGAAGAGGGGACGGGCTGCCGAAAAGATGATGGACTGCCACTTCACACAGCATCCGAGTAATCGCGGGCTGACACAGTGGCGTGGCTCCTGTGTGTCCACTTACTATGCTGTAACAAAGTGTGTCGGTCCATCGTTCTCGACAGCAATGGGCCTTCCAAAGTCTCTCACTCCCGGAATCTCATCATCTCCCTGTGAGTCCTCTCTCCAGTCTTGGGGCAAGACAGCCACATCGATCAGGAATCCCTCGGGGGTCATCAGCTCTTCACGACAGGGCACCCGCAACTGTGCCAGAGAGTTGGCCGTAAGGCGCTGGGCTGTCGACGTCTGTACTGTCTTCCTCACGGCATCAAGCTGACGTTCAAGGCAGCAGATCACCTTTGCCGACAGCCCAGGGGACACACCGACATCGAGGAGGGCCTGCTGGATTGGACCGACGCGGGGCCCAGACGGACGGGGTGGAGGAGACGGGCTAAGGCTGTGCGACAAACGACGAGCAGCCGAAGACAGAAACCGTGACCCATTGTCCTCCTGTTGAGCTAGCATCCATAGCGTCACACAATGGGTAACGAGGAGCTGCAAAAGATCAATTCAGAAGACGTTGACGAAGGTGCTGGAGCAGTCTTCTACAGCACCTGATGCTTGGAGGGACCGTCCATACGATTAATGGCGTCGTCCCACATGGGTAGCTGGAAGGCCTGCCTGAACAGTTCCCCTACCTGGAGCATCACACCGCGTCACCTTTCAATCCATTCCGCTCCCTGACACCTTCATGCTCACTTACCGGTTGCGTAAAGTGTCCAGCAGCAGCGAGAGACCACATGACAGATGTGAGGTTCTCGGAAGGGAATGTCGCCAGCCCCCTCTCGTGGAGTATATAGTGTGCTACTCTGTTGACTGTCTCCTCTCGCTGCCGGTGCAAGTCCATCCACTGAGACGACAGTCGGAGTTGTGGGTAGACGATCAAGGACTGCAGGGCTCCGACGGACGCCAGAGCCCACACAACAATCCCGATCTGAGACGCATCCATTCCCTTCAATAGTTGCGGCAACTGAAAATACCGACACAAGTTCAGGCAAGAGGGAACACAACAATACATGGACTTGGATTTCAGTACCCACCCGCGTCAGCAAGGCCGCACACAGGGGTCGATGATGGATGCCGGCGATCGCTAAACCCCAGAGAAGAGCACAGGTGGCCGGCACACTCATGTTTCCCACATAGCGCAGGGCCGCATCGCCGAGAAGTGCGAATGTCGGGAAGTGGAAGAAATGCAACACGGCGAAGGACCAGACGGAATTGGCCACGGTCTGGGCGTTGAACCGCCCCTTCTTCACTAGGTGAGGTACTGCGGCCGCCAGGACACCCAGTGCCTTACGATCGCGATAGTTTGCCACAGCGAACGACCACGCGAACATGCCGAGGCTTTGGGGCGATAGATTTGAAGGCCCCTCCCCATCTGCCCCTTCCTTGAGGTTGTCGGTCTGATACCTCTTCACGATCTCCAGGCCTATCTCCGTGTAGAGAGCCTCGCATGGGACGCGAAGGGCCGCATAGCTCCAGCACACGACAGCGAGATGATGAGAAGCGAACTGAGTTAGCCGAGAATCGCCGCCAGTAGGCATGGGGGGACCCTCTTTCCCCTCACGATAGTCGAATCGGCGGCTCTGCGACAAAGGAGGCGCTCTTGGGGGATCTAACTTTCCTCTTGCAGTTGGCTTAGTCATGGCTCGACTCCGCACAGCATCGTCCGTCACGCCAGGAAGAGGAACCGGCGCAGCAGAGGCTACTTCATCCACAGTTTTTGCGTCTTTCACGTCGTCGGCCGAGAGAAGGTATGACGTCATGGTTTCCACCAGCAAGGCGTGGTGAAGCCGCAGCTTCCCGTGGGCCCAGAGAAGCATGGCGCAATCGTGGGAGGGAAACCGGTTGGCGAGGAGCAGGTTGACAGCCTTTGTGGCTAGAACGTCGAAGAGATCCCGATGCAGTGGGGTGAGGGGAGGAGGCGAGGTCCGATTCGCTGGCACCTTGACAGCTGGCAGCTGCAAGTCCATGTCCTCAGCATGGAGCGGGAGCTTGTCAATTGTCATTTGCTTCTCCGGCGTTGCCCTTCTTTCTTGGAGCAGTAGTAGCTGTCGCGCGTAAGCCCATGCAACGTTAGCCACGTCCTTGCTGGTCAGCTGCATGCGCCACTGTGAAGGGCTCTGCCGGTCCGTCCTCAGCTCGTCGATGAGTTTCCGTGCGATCGCGTCGAAGAGCCGCACGTGGACTTCTTGCATTGCGCTGTACGCCCACACAATCATAGCGATCTGCCCCACGCGAACTGACTCATAATGCAGCCGCCTCGCCCCCTCCCTGGTCACAGCATCGCTCACAGCAGCGAACAGCATTGGGTGTGCCGTCTTGGTCGTAGCATATGCCCACAGGACAAGAGCAAGGGACGACAGAGAGAAGTCATCGACGCGGCGGCAAATTAGATTGCCCAACTCGCGAAAGAGGACCGGGTCGGCCACTTGTGCCTCGCCGTAGCCGTATAGCTGCATGTTGACATCTTGAGGGGTGTAGTGGGCCAGGTTCGAGAGGGACACGGAGGTTATCATATCGAACATGTGGCGGCAGAGCGATGCCAGACCGAGTTTGCTCAGGGACCACGCGCACGTGGATAAGTCGCGAGGTGAAAATGAAGACTTCCAAGGAAGAACGGATCCGACGGAATGAGATGGACTCGAGGGATCGCCGACTCCGCCGTCGTCGCTCTCCTGGTAGGTCAAGAAAGGACTCCGTCGTTCACCACCTCCCGTCGAATCTGTTTGGGGGACTGCATTCCCCCGAGCTGTTGCCGATTGCAGCTCCATGTCGATTCTCTGCAGTAGACGATTGACGACGTCATTACCGCAGTACCTCGCCGTGTTCTTTCTGTCGCGCTTGACATCATAGCCGAAATGCACGAGTCGCCTCAGACCCGTGACGAGGTTGACAGTGTTGAAGCGATGAAGGTCCTTGTCGATGAGAGCCAGCAGCTCCTGTGACGAGCGGGCATCGATAAGGCGATTGGTCAGATCTTGATGTACTCCTCCCGACGTATCTTGATGAGTCATCTGAGGGATCTTGATTCGAGCAGCAGTGCTCCCGTCCGCCAGGGGCACGGCCAGAGATGAGAGGCGATGGTTCATCAAAAAATGGCTCTTCATTTCAAGCGGATATCCAGCAGCCGGCACAGATCTGGCGAGTCGAGGCCCTGGACATAGGCGTGGAAGCCAGCAGCTCGAGCGCCTTCCGGGCGACTAATGACAGGTTCATACTGATGCTTGTGTGCCGCCAAGGCGCGAAACGCGTGTTTTGCGGACAAAGATCGTTGGCTGCCGAATGCTGCAGGGTTTTAAAACCCTGAACCTTCATGTTGACGGTCAATCACGAGTTGGGCGTCTATTAAGAAATGTGTTCAATATTCAAGCGGTTCAGGATTAACCTAGTACATAGCCTCTAACTCTTCACTTCTTGACTTCTCTTGATGAGCGCTTCCACGCCTCTATGCACTGCAGCGGCATTCTCTGAAAGAGTCAGCTGCATCTGCAGCACAAGAGAGAATACACGTGAATAGATCAGACACGTGGCCCCGGGCGCTGGTCGTGTCTGTGCACATCTCACCTTGGCTATGGCATCGCTGTTGGTCTTCAAGCTATCCTGCAGGCAGCAAGCAGGGGCAGGCCAACTTACACGGCATTTTGGCCGATGTTCTTCTGCCTCAATTGGCCACCTTGAGTTGCATGTTTTGTATTTCCTGTCGTCTCAGCGACTGGCAGACGCTGCTGGCCTCTCCAAGCCCCTCTTGAATCGAGCCCTCCTGCAGTCCGCTGATAACACCCTGCAAACGACTGCAGCCATGGCAGAAACGCGGTGGACAGCTATGAGTTGCTTGTAGTGGTGGTGTTCAGTACTCAGCTATCGCGTCCATGGGCGCCAGCTCGTCATAGAGCTTCTCAAACTGCATGAATACGCGCAAGAGATCCACTCGATGATCTAGACAGCCCGTTTGCCCTAAGTCAACCCTCACCTTCTTGATGGGGTTCATGCTCGCCGGCAGAGAATCGAACATATGCCGCTCCTGAGGGCAACAAAGGCAGATGTGCGATATGCATGCCGACATAATCTACCTACCCGTGCAGCTTGGCTCTCGAGGAGGTCCAGTTCCGTGCTGACTACATGCAGTGAGCACTCCAGCTCACTCAAGGCCTTTTCGTCCCCACACAGACGGACACGAGACACCAACTCGCTCACAGCCCCTGACCATACGCCTCACACAGCACGATAGCGGCAAGCGGCTCGACCTTCCTGTGCTCGCATGAGGTACCGATGATGCTCGCAGCACTATGGGCGGTGTCCAGTTGCGCGCCCTTCGCCTCTGCCGTATCATCTTCGCTGCCCGCTGTACACTCAGAAAGGGCTGGAAAAAAGGTATGTACAAAAGAAACAGAGAAGTAGAATGGCCCGCTTCATTGATTCCCCTCTGTTCTGCCATTGGGGGACCTGCGATTTTCTGTTCGAGCCTTTGCATTTTCTGGGCAAGGGCCATAGCATTAAGGTTGGAAACGCTCGAAACGTCCTGGAAACGCCAATACCCGGATACACCACACAACGTCATTGTAACTCATCCGCGTGGGCCCGCTCACCTCGGCGGCGTATGTAACCTGTCCCTTGCTGGCAGACGGCGCCACCACTTCTGCACAAGAGAGCAGACATACAGATATCCTACATCTGTTCATAGTGTACCTGTCTGCAGGTCGGGCTGCAGCGGGGCAGAATCCAGTGACTAAACAATAATGGGGTGGGAAAATAGTTACGACAAGGGAAGTCACGTGACCCCCTCCCTTGTACTCACCTTGATGTGGTGTTGCAGCAGTTTCAGAGGGTTCTCTCGAGCGAGGGCTGTCGTGGCTTGGCTCCAACACAGTGAGTCGATCAACAGGCGCTCGCTGGCACTCACGCCCTACTCACACAATAGCGGAACATTTCCGATCCCCCTTGTACCGTGTTGGTTGGTGTCTCACGTCAGTTTCCCTCTTGGGAGACGGGAGTGCTGGTTCTTGAGCAGTGGTGCTCTGCAAGGCCTGCAAAAGCTTCGGTACCTCTTCCTCCAGCTTGCGCACGTGACCTTACAAACGAACCACAAGAACAGACCCTGACGCTACTGGGAACTTTTCGCCTGCTTCTATGTGCCACCCTGTAACTGCAGGTTGTCTTGCACCAGCCCTATCGCCCCCTTATCGGCCGCATCACCTTGTTCGCCAGCGGCGCCGCCACTCTGGCGCTCATTCACCCACACAAGCTGCGCACAGTGAGAGAAGATTTGGAAGGAGGCGGGCGTGTATAATGATGTGCTTGTGGCGCGTACGATGGCCTCGACAGCTTCGGGCACTTCGCGACGCAAACGCTGATATCTGAGAAAGCCGAGTGCAACAACAATCAATGACATAAATGTGTCCTCAGCATGTTGTCCCTTCTTACCTCTGCAGAGGCGTTTCAAACTGCAACCGACGACTAGGCAAGCCTGGCATCACGATGGATGACAGCATTGTGGAAGGCTAAGTGTTTCACGAGGACCTCAAAGCTTACCGGAGGGGTACAGCCGCGTCCCCTGACTCGATCTGCTCGAAGCAATGATGACCAAGATATACATTTCTCCCATACAATATGCATGCATCGGTCGTCCCACCCAGTGGCCCTGAGAGGCCTCGCGGAGCCACTATCGCCCTCATCAGCCTCCTGCCCTTTCAGATCGGCGTACACGTCAACTGCACAAGAACACTGTCACGACGACCAGGGGTTCCCCTGTGATTTGACCAACCTGTGGGCTGTAGTCGCTTGCCGGCGAATTGTTTGAACGCCCAAACGGGATTCACATCACTGCAGTCCAACACCAGCCGGTCCTCTGCTGCGCACACAGGCACCCGCACAGACATATATGCATCACGATGTCATTCAGCTTCCCTGACCTGATCTCGGCGAACGCTGTCAAGAGAAACGGAAATCGTGAAGCGACCCCCCGACGAATCACTCGTAACAGACCGCACCTTACCTGGTTCTTTCGAGGGCTCTTGCCATTTTGCGACGACCGAAGGCTCGCCAGCTCATCGGCGCCGTTTTCCTGCAGGTCCTTTTTCTGCTGCTGAGCGGTGGCGAAATCCGCATCGTGCGCCGAGTCGAACACCTCCTCCTTCCTTGCTCTCCTCGCTACCTGAAGATCCCCCATACATTCACACCGGACAAAGGCGGCACTGAGAACTCACCTCCTCCACCAGGAGCTGCCGGGTCAACGCTCTGAGGCTTGCCAATTCGTCGCCCTCTTTTGTGTGCCGAGTGAACGCCATTAAGGATACAATGACATCCAATTCTGAAAGGGGCTTTAGGGGTGCGGTGGAATTCGCCTAACTCTTTAACTCTTTTATGATTCCGAGTAAGGGGCACCCACTGCGTGGGCACCCCGGGCCGCGAATTGGGCGGGGATCGAAAACAGCGTGCGAAGTGGTGGTTCAATGCAGCGTCACAGAGACGTGCACAGCACGAGTGCTGGCGAGACGCACACCAACGCATGCAACAATGGCGAGAGTTTCAAAACATACAGACAACAATGGCGGGCGCTTGAAAAACATGCAGACGTGAAGACAGACGTGGCGATAACATGCAAGTACTCAGAGGGCTGCACCAAGAACACAAGACACCCCCCATGTTGCCGCGCCTGCTGCGCCCGTGCTGAAGACGTGCTTCGCCAAGTATATCAATGCATCGCTGGATGCAATTGAATGCCAACCTATCGATATCCAGCGATGATATCAATAGACATGTATGAATCTAGCGCGCCTGTTGAAGACTGCCTTCAATGACTGTCAATCGGCTTGTCCATCAAATGGGAGCCGCCAGGATTAGCCCAACGATGACCTGCAGCAGCAACGCAACAAGCTAGGTGAAATCGGCCACAGCCGCGGCACGTCAGATGAAGCAAGCCTCCTGAGTAAGTAGCTTCTCTTCGAGTCAAATCTCTTCACACACGGTGGTCACTCGATGGATGCTGCCAGCCTCACTTGACTGCTGGCGCAGCCGGCGTCCGCATTCAAGCCGCCTGAGACGGTCGACGATCTGTTCAGTGGGCCGGCCGTCACCGATTGAACAAAGAGCAGATGCGGGCGTTCCAAATCATCTGCAGCCACTTGCTGAACCACTACAACGACCTGAGGGACAATAAATACATCGCGCCATTGCCGCACCGGCAAGACCGTCATGAATGCCGTGAAGGCTTGTTCTGCTGAACTGCAATGCAGACATTGGCTGTGTCCGCTCTTACCGGTGTGGCCGCAGATAACACCGAAGGCTCGACAGTCGATTCGCTGCTGCACGTCTTCGATGACTCCGAGAGCGACGAGAAGAGACTGCGGCGCCAAGCGGGGAAGCAGCAGACAGTCGATGGTGACCGCATTTGCAGAGATCTGACCGCATTTGCAGAGAGGAGTCTTGCCAGCATATCCACTACCAAGTCCACTGCACGATAGTCGGCGAGATCTCTTTCGTTAACCGCCAGAAGCTCGACAAAGTCGATGCGGCACTGAGGGACCTCCGAAAAGGCACCCAAGAAAGACCAAGCTGAACCAGCTGCATGAACGGACAAGGGAGAAACATCCCATCCACCACAAACTGGCGCGTTTCGTGTGTTCAGTCAGTTGATGCATCTTTTAAGAAGTTCGCGCCCAGAGATACCCTTGTTCGTTACTTTCTCCGCAAAGGAAGCGCGATCTTTGCAGTAACGGTTTGTTGAGGCACCCTAGACGCCCTGACGGCCAAGCTTTTCAATAACTTGTCGCTTTAGGGTACATCAGTTTGACGGTCATTGATCCAAACGTCACAAAAAAATGTCAGAAGTGCAAGTCGGTCCAGGGTTTAGGGTCTAGGGTTCATAGACCGACGATCCACTGATCTGTGAGACAGGACGGCTGTTGAGTCTTTGTCCGTTCCATGAGACAGGCCATGGCGGACAGGACGTCA